CTCCGTCTCTGCCTGCTGTTCAGGGGGCTGTGTCGCCCTCCTGGCCTTCCAGCCTGGGTTCAGGCGCGGTGGGGTGCCAGGATCAGCCCTGCTGGGCCTCGCGCCCTCCCCGGGCTCAGTAGCCCCCCACTGCCCAGCCTGGGGACAAGGATGTGTCTTCACGGCCTCACTGTGCCTTTCAGGTGGGGGGTTTCAAGGGGCGCGGGCCCTTCTGGATGCAAGGAGCGTGGCATGCAAGGCAAGCACCCTCCCTGCTGTACTGTCACTCCAGTTCCCAAAAAAGAAGTTTTATTTTTTGCTTTTTGAGTCACGCCCAGTGACGCACAGGGGTTACTCCTGGCTCTGCACTCAGAAGTTACTCCTGGCGGTGCTCAGGGGACCATATGGGATGCTGGGAATCGAACCCGGGTCGGCCGCGTGCAAGGCAAACGCCCTCCCCGCTGGGCTGTCCCTCCAGCCCCCAAAAAAGAATTTTTGAAAAAAGAATTAACCCGCCCCTCCTGGCTCTGTTCTCCACTCCTGCCCGGTGCTTCGTGCTGGGATTCGTGTTAAGCGTCAAGGAACTGAACCCAGGCTTGACCTCACTGGACTCTGCTTTTGTGTGGGTCGTAGTGGTGGAGAAATACGATTACGTGTTCCCGGAAAACGGCCTGGTCGCGTACAAAGATGGGAAGCTCCTGGGGAAACAGGTAGGTCGAAAACCTCAGAGCTGCTCCCCAAGTGGTTCCGAGCGGGGTGAGCGGTTGCCCCCAACCCTGGCGGCCTGAATGACGACCCACGTGACAGTCCCTGGCCCCAGCTAGTCGGCCAGGCCGGAGACACGTGACGTGCGGCAGGGCAGGCTGCCCCCTGCGTGGAGCCCCTGCGGCTGTCCTTAAGACCACTTCTGTCCCCGAACCCGGGCAGCTGAGAGGGGCCAGGCGTCTCCTCTTGGTGCCTGCGGACGCTTCAGTGGAGTAAATGGCCTGCCAGGAAGCGTCTGAACGATCACAAACCCGCCAGAGGTCGCCGCGCAGAAGAGAGGGGGGAGGTGGCTGCCCGGGGTCCCCGGGTGGACGGCCTGGGCCGCCTGCGGCCGCGGTCCCCAACAGCGTCGCTCCCGTGCCGCTTCCTCTAGAACATTCAGAGTCACCTGGGCGAGGCCCTGATCCAAGACCTCATCAACTACTGCCTGAGCTACATCGCGAGAATCAAGCTCCCGAAGAAGAGGTGGGTCTGGGGCGTAGGAGCTTAAGGCCCGCAGCGCTGAGCGGAGGCATCGGCCGCCGACCGAGGGCCGGGACCGCGGTGGGGCCCCGCCTGGGTCGGGAGCGGCCGAGGCGGCGTGGAAGGGCTCAGCGCGGCCCCGCCGCCCCCAGGGGCACCTTCATCGAGTTCCGCAGCGGGATGCTGAACGTGTCCCCGATCGGGAGGAGCTGCAGCCAGGAGGAGCGCCTCGAGTTCGTGGAGCTGGACAAGGCGAGTCCCCAGAACGGCGGGGCAGAGGCCGCGGGGCTGCCGGGCACTGGCGCTGACGGTTGGGTCCCCGTTCTCCTCAGAAAGAAAACATCAGACAGAAGTTTGTGACGGAGCTGCGGAGAGAGTTCGCCGGGAAGGGAGTGACCTTTTCCATAGGTAGGGGTGGGGGAGGGGAGGCTGAATGCGGGTCCCCAAGGCTCCCGGTCAGGCTCAGAGCAGCTGGACTTGCTTTTTCTGGGCTTAGGGGAGGGTAAGAAGGCGGCTTTGGGTTTTTTCCTCGCACTTTTTTTTTTCTTTCCTTTGTGGGTTACGCCCGGCAATGCACAGGGGTTCCTCCTGGCTCTGCACTCAGGAATTACTCCTGGCGGTGCTCAGGGGACCATATGGGATGCTGGCGATAGAACCTGGGTTGGCTGCATGCAAGGCAAACACCCTCCTTGCTGTGCTATCACTCCAGCCCCTTTGCTCACTCTTGAACCCAGGACAGTCCGGCCCTGCCCGCTGAGCCGCATCTCCGGCCCCCCTCCCCTCCCCCCTCCTGCCTGCCACGTCTGGGCGGTGGGAGCCTTGGGGGGTGGGCAGGGGCTCTCCAGGGCTAGGTGGCCCGCCCTGCAGACACTGGAGCGGCCCTTGGCGGGTGCCTGTCACCAACCTCCCCGTCACCTGCGGCTCCTGCGTGTCTCCTTCCCCGCGTGTGGCAGGCGGCCAGATCAGCATCGACGTCTTTCCCGAGGGCTGGGACAAGCGTTACTGTCTGGGCCACGTGCAGGAGGACGGCTTCCAGACCGTCTACTTCTTCGGAGACAAGACCATGCCCGTGAGTGCCCATGTTGGGGAGGACGCGCGACAGGCGGTCATGCGGTTCTGCAGTGGGGGCAGCAGTAGTGGCCACCCACAGGAGGGGGGAAGGGGGGAACACGGCACCTCTCCTGGGTGGGGTCGCTCCCCCCCCCAGTTCCTGGGAGGCCTCGGGGCTCAGGGGACCGGGACCCGCGGGGGCAGCACCGCTCGGACAGGGGGACCCCAAGGGGAAGGTCTGGACAGGCTCATGGCAGATGGTGCTGTTTCACCTCAGGCCCAGCCCCGCTGTGTACTGTGGGGTGGCCCAGGCCATTACCTGGGGCCACAGTGGACGCTGGCCTGCAGCGTGGCCCTTGGTGTCCCTGCCTCTGGCGCTGGCCGGGAGGGGCCCAGCGCAGGGAAGGGTGGGCTGCAGGCTGGGGGCCGGCCGGCTGACTCTCTGCCTCTGCAGGGCGGCAACGACTACGAGATCTTCTCGGACCCCCGGACGCTGGGCTACACGGTGTCGGCGCCCGAGGACACGCGCAGGATCTGCGAGGGGCTCTTCTGAGGACCCCACCCGCACCGCACTTTGGACCTCAGCAGGGCTGGGGACCCCCGGGGCCCCTGGGAGCAGGACCAGGGGCCCCAGACAACGGTTGAGTGCCCGCGGGCAGCGGCGAGTGGGCTGCCCCACTGAGCCCTGCGGCGGGTGCCATGACTGCACATTAAAGGCCTTGGGTCACTTTCCAGCCTCGTGGCGGCTGCTTTGGGCGTCCCGTGGCCCCGTCCCCCACTGACCCGAGCCCTCGGGTGGCACCGTCTGCTGCAGAATCGGGGTGTGGTGCTCAGGGCTCCCTGCCCAGCTCTCAGCCCTCCTCGCCCCATGACAGCAGGACGCCAGGCCCCGCCATGTTAAGTGTCAGAGGCACTGGGGAGTCCGGGACACGGGGCCACGGCCAAGCCAGGGTCCCAGCCCAGGTGCCACGCACGCGTGGTCCCCCACACCCTGCCTGGGGTGGCCCAGAAACTTTGTTTTTTTTTCTACTTGGTTTTTGGGCTCACCCCTGGGGATGCTCAGGGGTTACTCCTGGTTCTGTATTCGGACATTGCTGGGGATGTGGGGGGATCCTATGGAATATCAGGGCTCAAACCGGGTTGGCTATGTGCAGGGCCAGCATCCTACCTGTATACTATCCCTCCGGCCCCTCAGAAACTATCATTTTTGTTTGGGGGCACCCCTGGGGCCTTTCGGGGCTCAGGGGGACCACATGAAGCTGGTCGATCCAGGTCGGACACCGGCGAGGCAAGTGTCCTCCCTGCTGTCCTCTCCCTCCCCCAGAAATGTCCTGGCAGCCGCCCCACCCCCCTGCACGGACGGACGGGAACTGGACTTGGCTCAAGGTCACTCGGCCTTCCAAGGTCCCGGGAGGGCCAAGGACAGAGGCTGCTGGCCGGAAGCCGAGCACTGGAAGGTGCCTCTGGCCAGGGAGGGGCGCAGAGCCCAGCCGGCCCCAGGAGCAGATGCTGGAAGTGGGGGGGCCTGGAACCCCACCCAGAGCTGGACCCCGACGCACCCCCACCCACACACAGACGCGCCTCCCCCACCCGCACGGATGCGGCTGTTTTTTCCTGACCCGCCCTGCGAAGATCAAGGCTGCAGGCTGGGATCCCAACAGCCATCACCCACCCCCGGGGGGCCACCCCCCCACTTCCCCTCTCCGGAAGTGTGGGGTCAGGCAGGGAGGGGCACCTCCAGCCAGCCCCCTGCACCGCTAGGCCAGGGCCCCTGGGGGGGGCCACCTCCCCCATGTCCAGGCCCCACTCGTCAGGTACCTGCCCGCTGACACTCAACTAGGGAAGCGGGGTGCCAGACCCCCTGACCCTCGCCACCCGGGCCGGAGTCTAAATGCCCCAGGAAGCGGCATATTTTGTGTTGCCCACCTCTGGCTTTCCCAGGACCCAAGAGGAGGAACAGGGCAGGGGTGACGGGTGTGTCACCATCCCCGGACAGGCCACCAGGAGCATGGACCCACTGGGACCAGCTGCGGGAAACGCGGCTCCTGGCCCCTCCCCTCCCGGCTGCCCCAACATCCTGCGCCTTTCTGAGCACTCGCCGGAAAGGTTGCGGGTCCTCGGGGGACACAGGAAAGCCCGAACAAAGGCCTCGGCCGGCCGGGAGCTTACTGGACCCAGACCCATACTAGCGGGAGAGCTGGGGTGCATCTGCCCCCCAGGGAAATGTGGGAGGGGGCTAGGAGGAGCCCCAGGCCACAGGAGAAGCCAGGCACGCTGGAGGGGTGGGGCAGGCCAGCCTGGTGACCCCAGGACCTCACGCCAGTGCAGGACCAACAGCTGCCTGCCGGCTCCCTCCCACACTCCAACCCCCGACACGCGCACGCGGGCCACCAGCTGGACCCCCCAGTCCAGAGTGGACACTGTCGGGGCCCCGCCCAACTTGGACCCAGAGCTAGGTCCCCGCTTCCCCGCACTGACGGCCAACCTGGACCCGCAAGGCCTGTGCCCAGAACACGGCTCAGGCCAGAGCCCAGAACTCTGCCAAGGCCGGACCCTGCGGCCACCTGGGGGAGGCTCTAAGTGTTCACTCCCGGCTTCTGGACACACAGTGTCCCTTCCCACACCCCCAAACAAGGCTGCGTCTGGGAGCAAGACAGTTAAGGTGCTGGCCTGGCACACAGCTCACCCCTGGCCCTGGGTCCATGGGGCCCTGAGCCCTGCCAGGAGTTATCCCCGAGCACAGAGCCAGAAGTCAGCCCTGAGCACCGCTGGGTGTCCCCAACGGCCCCCGCAAAAGAAAAGTAAAAGAAATTCTCCCCCAGGCTTCAGGTTTGGCCTGGCTGAGAAGTGGGCGGCCGCCTCTTTTCCTGGGGTTTGGGTGTCTTGTGTCTGCGTTTTGCAGCCCTGGGGTGGGACCAGGGGACACACACAAGGTGGGCGGGGCAGTGCCCGGTGTGGTACCCGGCCCCTGAGGGTCCCAGGATGGCGTTTATTTTGGTTTTGGTTTTGGAATCGCAGTTGGTGGTGCTCACAGCTCCGTGCTCAGGGTGCAGAGTGGGAACCCCAACCCTGGGGTAGGGGACACGGTGCCCTCAAACCACCCCTGTTCACAGAGGAAAGCGTGTTCTTGGGAAAGGCGGCCGCAGCCTGGGCCGAGACCTCAGAGTGGTGTCCGGTCAGCACCAAGCTGGACCAACGGGCCACGGCCGTGGGGGCAGCACACCCGCCCCGGCGGCCACTTAGCCAGCAGCCGCGCCTCTTTTCAGATGCTTTTAATGCTTTCCAGATGGTGAGCTGGCCACACAGTGCTGGCCGGGGGCAGCGCGCCCGCCCCCACGCCCCCTCCTCCCGGGCCAACCGCGAGGGGCCCTGCGCCCCCTCCGGGGAGCCCCATCTCCCGCAGCAGAATGTCCCCTCCGGTCTGGCCCCACCGCCTCGGCCCCCAGAGTCTCCCGGGCCCCCGGCGTCCCTTAGGAGCTGACCACGTGCCCTGACCAGGTCTCGTGCTTCGTGCCGGGGGCCAGGTGGGTGATGACCACCTCCACGGCCTGCAGCTTCTCGTTCTTGGGCGGGATGGAGCACATCTTGTACGTGACCTCGTCGCCTTCCACGGGGACGTACTCCCCCTCCACGCTGCAGGTGAAGGAACACACTCTCAGGGGTGGGGGGCGCCCGGCCCCCCTGCCCCCCACCCCCCCAGCACTGAATTCAGGAGCCCCCGCCCACCCCACACGTCGTATGTGGGTGATGGGCAAGGGGGCTGGTGGGGAGAAGACATGGGGAGGCTGGGGTTCAGTCTTCAGCCCTGCCAGGGGTGACCCCCTCTCAACAAAGGGAGTGGGGGAGGGCGTGCATCAGCCCACAGAAGGCCTGGGGGTGGGGCTCCCGGCACGCCCGCCTCGGCCCTCCCTGGGTCCCTGGAGGCCTCCGGAAATGTCCTGCGCTCAGAACTCATTCCAGGAAGACTCGCTCCCCAAGGGCCGCCCAGGGAGGACCCACCCGGAAGTCCTGGTTTCCCAGCTCCCTGGGCCCCATCCTGCTGACGGCCCTTCTCAAAGCCCCCTTGAGAACACCCCAGGAAAGCCCCCCTCAGGCCCAGCCCGGGGCAGCCAGCTCCTCCAGAATTGGTTTATTATGGTGGTTTAAGAAATGCATCACGGCTCGAGCGACAGCACGGCAGGGAGGGCGTTTGCCTTGCACATGGCCGACCCGGGTTCCAGCCCCAGCATCCCGTAGGGTCCCCCAAGCACCACCAGAGGTAATTCCTGAGTGCAGAGCCAGGAGGAACCCCTGTGCATCGCTGGATGTGGCCCAAAAAGAAAAAGAAAAAAAACAAAAACAGAAAGAAATGCATCAGGGCTGGAGCGATACAACAGCGGGAGGGCGTTTGCCTTGCACCTGGCCGACCCGGGTTCGATTCCCAGCATCCCACAGGGTCCCCTGAGCACCGCCAGGAGTAACTCCTGAGTGCAGAGCCAGGAGGAACCCCTGTGCATACCGGGTGTGACCCAAAAGAGAAAAAAAAAAAAAAGAAAAATGCATTGTGGGCCAGGAAGGTGGCTCAAAGGGTGACCCCCAGGTTCAATCCCAGCACCCTAAAAGCAGATGCCACCAGAATGGCTTTCCGCTCTGCTCTCAGCGCCCAGGAGGCAGCGTGCCCCACTGTCCTCTGGAGCGCCACCCCGCCGAGGACACGCCAGCTGTCCCTTCGAACCCTACAGATCCCCTCTGGGACATGGCCAGGAAAGGTGGGTGCACAGCCCAACACCCCCGCCCATTCTCTTGCCTCCTGGCGGCTTAGGGGCACCCAGCTAAGATCAGACAGGCAAGACTGCTGGGGTCAGGTGGGCAGAAAAAGGGGCCACTGGGCACTGGCCTTGCACGCAGCCGACCCAGGTTCTGTTCCCGTCATCAACAGTTCTCTGAGCCCATCAGGAGGGATCCCTGAGCACTGAGCCAGGAGTCAGGCCTGAGCACCGCTGGGTGTGGGCTCCGCACACAAACCAACATGCGTAAATACATCAATACAACCCCCGAGCCCCAAAAGGGGGCTGCCCCCGTTTCCCGCAGCACATTCCGTCTCGCGAGACTGTCCCCACGGCGGACGGCAGGGCCAACACGGGGGGAGCACTTGCGAGAGACGCTGGGGGCAAACGTGGGTACGAAGAACGGACAGACAGCTCAGTGCGCAGGGCGAGAGGGAGGGTCCCTATCCCCCAGGCCCCCCGCCCCGGCCCCGGCCGCGCTCACTCACTCCGAGATGTGCAGGAAGATGTCGGGGCCGCCGTCCGCCGGCGTGATGAAGCCGTGCCCTTTGGAGCGGCAGAAACACTTGCAGACGCCTTTGTACACGGGGCCCTGTGACGCCCGCACGGTGCTGGGGGTGGGGGGGTGAGAGAGTGAGGGGCAGGACTCTGCACACCCTCCTGCCACCGCCTCGGGCCTCCCTCCCGAGACCCTCCCACGACGGCCAGCCGGACGGCTGCTCCGGGCTCTGGGCCAAGAGAGACAACGGCTAAAAGCAGGGCCACCTCGGGGCTGGAGCGACAGCACAGCGGGGAGGGCGTTTGCCCTGCGTGAGGCCAACCTGGGTTCAATTCCCAGCATCCACAGGGTCCCCCGAGCATCGCCAGGAGCGACCCCTGAGCGGCGCTAAGCGTCACTGAGTATGACCCGCCCCCCACAAAAACAAAGCAGCTTCACCTTGTGTTCTCTGCAGGGGTGAGGCCTCCCATACCCCCCCCTCTGGCAGCGGAGATGGCCAGGGGCTCCAGAGAGGCCCCAGCAGGACCCAGCCCCACTGCCCACACCGGCCTTCCCCGTCCACCCCCTGGGCAGCCCCCCGAGTGGAGACTCACGCCGAGAAGGTCCTCGTCCGCCGCGTGGGCAGTGGGCTGGGCACCACGTTGCCCCGAAGCGGGGAAGGGGAGCGGTCACGAGCCCGCTGGGGGCCCAGCAGCCCCGACGGCGGGTGGGCTGGGGGCTGCGCTGGCGGAGGTGGCTCAGATGACATGGCTGACCTGCGGGGACACGGGCACTCAGGGCAGCATCCTGGGGCCGGTCCCCACCAAGACCTGCGGTGAATGCGTGGAGGGGGGAGGCGGGGGGGGGAACACCTCACACTGGAGGCCGTCGGTGCTCCCCGCGGTCAAGGGGGTACCTGGCTCCTGCTCTGTGCTGGCAAGAGTGACCCCCGACACGCGCTGGACAGTGGGCCAGCCCTGGCGGGATGATGCGGGGCAGGGGCGGGGGCCTTGCCCTGAGCATCGCCAAGAGCAAGACGGGGCAGCAGGTGCCACCAGGAGCCAGCAGCCTTGGGGAGGAAGGAGACCCCCGAGCTCTGCATCAAATGAGGTGAAGCTCAGCGACCCCCCCCCAGCACCCGACAGGGCGACAAGTCGGTGAGTGGGCAGCTGAGCCCACACAGACGTCACCCCGGGTGTTCTGGAAGGTTCCCCGCCGCTCACCCAGCTGTGGAGGCGTGGGATGCCGCTGAGACATGCCAACACGGGCGGGGGAGCAGATGGCTCTCAGGGCCCGACTGTGCCTGACCCGGGTGCGAGGCCAGGCTGCCCAAGGGTGGCCGGGTGCATCACCAGAGGAGCCCCTGGTGCCCTGAGCACTGCCCAAGAAGTTCAAAGTCATGAGCACCCCACGGCGGCCCCAGTCTGCCATCCTGGGGCCCCGCCCTGACCCCCTCAATCCCAGCACGCGGCCCCAGGACGAATGTCCCCCCAGTACCGCCCCAGCTCCCCACAGGCCCCCTCAGCCTGGCCGTCGGGGGGTGCGGTCACCGCCACCCCCCAGCCCTCATTCAGCGACAGCCGCGGGGCCAGGGAGGACACGCCGGGGAGGCCCCACCTCATAAAGGCCCCTGGAGCTCGGCGTGGGGGCCAGGGCTCTGGCATGGCCCACAGAGCACAGGACACAGAGTTCTAGAATGTTCCAGCACCGGAAGTTCTGGTAAGGGGGGCCGGCCCCGCCCAGCCCCCCAGACCCACTCGCCTTCCTCCCTCCCCCAAGCCAGCGACCGGTTCCCCAAGTCTCAGTCAGACACGCAGCCCCCTGATCGCAGGCAGGGCCGTCCTGCACGTGGGGCCAGGCCAGGGGCCAGCTCTGGGCCAGAGTGGACAGGTAAACAGGCATGAGCTGGGGCCGGAAGGATAGAACAGCAGGGAAGGCGTTTGCCTTACACGTGGCTGACCTGGGTTCAATCCCCGGCAAGAGTGATTCCTGAGTGCAGAGCCAGGAGGAACCCCCGAGCACTGCCAGGTGTGACCCAAAAAGCAAAAAAAAAAAAAAAAACCAAAACCAGATACGAGCTCCTCATCTGTCACCCGAGGGCCGCCAACACAGGACATAAAACCCCTAAAATACTTCCAGGGTCCACGCGGGGAGGGCCCAGATGGTCGAGAGGCACCCTGAAAACAAGGGTGGCGAACACTGCGCGCGGGTCCCAAGCCCCCACCTGGACAAGCAACGAAGCACGGCCAGGAGGAGTCGGGAAGACAAGACGAAATTCATGAAAACTCCAGAAAGGGGGGCGGGGGTTAGGGAGAGGAGGGGGCTCCGAGGCCCGGGGGGGGGGGGTCGCTGAGCTCCAGGAACCCCCGTTTCGGTACTGGCTCTTGGCTCCGCCGGGAGTGCTCCCCAGCCCAGGGTGAGGGAAACTCAGACACTTCCCGGTAGGGGGAAGTCTGCACGAGGACCCTGGGGGAGGGGGTGGGCAGGCGAAGGGCCGGGGCCAGGTGGGCATGTGCATGTATGTACATGTTTGTATGTGCATGTGTGTGTCTGCGTGTGCATGTAGGCACATTTGTGTGTGCATTCTTGTGTGTGCACGTGTGTGTGTGTACAAGTGTCTGTGTTTGCGTGTGCACCTTTGTGTGTGTGCATGTTTGTGTACGTGTGCTGCTTGTGTGCGCACCTTTGTACACGTGTCCGTGTTTGCGTGTGCATGTGTGCAGTGTACGCCGTCGTACGTACGTGCGTGCATGTTTGTGTGCGTGTGTGCTGGCCCGCGCTGAGGATAAGGGAGAGGTGGAAGGTGATGAGGGGGTGAGGTGAGAGGCGGGAGCAGGGCTGGAGGAATGAGGTGGGGGGAGGGGAGAAGCGGGCAGAGGCTGGGGACTGTTGTCGCCGTCGCCGCGCACATGCGCCCTGGTCCTCCTGCCCACTGGCCGTCCACCCAGCCGTCCCTGGGCTCCTGGCCCGCCTGCTCATGGGGGGTTCCGAAGCAGCTCCAAGGGAGGTCCCTGGAGCCCCTGACAGACCCCCGCCCTGCCGTGTCCAGCAAGGCTGCAAGGGGCACAGCTCCGGACAGTCCAGGACATGGACGGAGGTGGACACGTGACCTCCTTTTCCCTGAAGCTGCTTTCTCCATGCCTCAGAGGACTCAGCCCAACTGCCAGCTGCGTCATTCTCCACCGAAGCGGGGGGAAACTGAGGCAGGGAGTGCCTGAGAAGGGAGGGGGAGGCCAGGGGCCATCTGTGCTGGAGCAGCTGGGGCAGGTCTGGCCCAGCGCCAGCACCGGCTCCACCCCACAGAGAGGCGAGGGCAGGGTGGGGGGGTCAAAGTGCAGCTGTAAGAAGGGGGGGCGGGGCGGCCCTGGGAGCCCTGCCGGGCAGTTGGGCATCTGCAGCGTCCAGGAGAGGCCTGCAAGACTCCCCATCCGCAGCCACCAGAGTGGGGGGCTCAGGGGAGGGCGGACGCTGAGGGAAGCAGGTCTGGGCTGCTGTGCTGGGTGTGCATGTGTGTGGACATATGGGCATGTGTGTGGCTCCATGTGTCGGAGCATGCACGTGCATGTGTGTATGGTGCCACGTGTCACGGCACGCACGTGTGTACGGTTCCCTGTGTCACAGAACGCACAAGCGTGTATGGTTCCATGTGTCAGCATACATGTGTGTGTGTGGTCCATGCATGTCATAGCATGCACACACGCATCTGGTTCCATGTGTCACAGCATGCGTACACGTGTGTGGCTCCATGTGTTGCAGCATGGACATGCACGTGTGGCTCCATGTGTATCCTCACAGCATGCACACATGTGGCTTCATGTGCGCACCACATGATGAACACACGTGTATGGATGTGTGTGACAGCATGTATACACGTGTGCACACATGGCTGGGGGCTCCCCAGGTGCCTCCACTGGGGGTACAGAGCGCACCCCCCCACACTGGCAATGGCTCCTGCGGGTGGGCTGCCACCCCCTGGGCCACTAGTGGTGCCTGAGCCCCAGGGCACAGGGCGTGTGGAGCCTGGGGCCTCTCGGGTCCCCCAGCAGAGGTGGTGGCCTGGGGGCTCCGGGGGCTGATCCCTCCCGAGAGGTGAGTCTCCCGGGCCAGACACCCACAGCAGTCGAAGGACACGGACGCCCCTCCCAGCCTAGCCGGGCCCTCGGGATGGACGCAGAGGCCCTGCCCGCTGCAGCCTGCAGTTTCCTGGCCACAGAGGGGGCGGTCAGCTGAGGCCAGACAGCAGCCCAGAGCGGGGGACAGGGGTCCAGAGAGCCCAGGACTCAGGGCCCGAGGGGCCCGAGAGAGACAGTGGAGAGGGGAGGGCACTTGTCTTGCGTTTGGGGATGGGCTCGATCCCCACATCCCATAGGGTCCCAGGAGCACTGCCAGGAGTGGTTTCCTGAGCACAGAGCCAGGAGGAACCCCTGGTATGACCCGCTCACGACCACCACCACCGAAAGTTTCAGAGCCATTGTCTGTGTCAGTCGCAGACTCGGAGGGGTGTGGGGAGGGAGAAGTCAGGGGAAAAACAGCTACGGAAGGGGGCGGAGAACGGGGAAGGCAGGCAGGGGTCGGGGTCAGATGGGAGACGGGGAGAGACAGCAGAGACAAGGCCGAGCGGGTGAGGACGGAACGGGGAGGCGGCTGTGGGCGGCTGGGAAGGGGCGAGGGCGGGAGGCGGCAAGGGGGCCTGGTCCCTCATCCTCTGGCCACAGCCCTGGGGACAAACATCAGTAAGAAGCCGAGTCCCGCCTGGGGCGCACGGCCCAAAGCCCCTCCCCCGCCACCTGGGCCCGGCCCTGCTAGAAGAGACGGACACGGGGCAGCGCCCCTGGACACAGCCCACGCCCGGCCCTGGCCGGCCCCTCCCAGCTGTCCTGGGGAAGCCGGGGCTGGTTCCTCACTTGAAGGCGGGCCTGCACCTCCGGCCTGTCACATTCCCCAGTGGGGAGCGAGGGGGACAACAGGCGGCAGCCCCTGGGGTAAGGCCTGGCTTCCACACACACACACACACACACACACACACACACACACACACACACACCCTGGGATGGGATAGTAACTCAGCACGCGCACACACACACACACACACACACACACACACACACCCCTGGGATGGGACAGTAACTCAGCACACACACACACACACACACACACCTGCGATGGGACAGTAACTCAGCATACACACACACACCACACACACATACACACACACACCACACACACACCTGCGATGGGACAGTAACTCAGCACACACACACACACACACCTGTGATGGGACAGTAACTCAGCACACACACACACACACACACACCCTGGGATGGGACAGTAACTCAGCACACACACACACACACACACACACACACACACACACACCCTGGGATGGGACAGTAACAACACACACACACACACCACACACACATACACACACACACACCACACACACACCTGCGATGGGACAGTAACTCAGCACACACACACACCCTTGCAATGGGACAGTAACTCAACACACACATACACACACACACAAAAACCTGCAATGGGAAAGTAACTCAGCGCATGCACGCACGCACACACACACCCCTGGGATGGGATAGTAACTCAGCACACACACACACACACCTGTGATGGGACAGTAACTCAGCACACACACACACACACACACACCCTGGGATGGGACAGTAACTCAACACACACACACACACACACACAGCACACACCTGCGATGGGACAGTAACAGCACATACACACACACACCACACACACATACACACACACCACACACACACCTGCGATGGGACAGTAACTCAGCACACACACACACACCACACACACATACACACACACACCACACACACACCTGCGATGGGACAGTAACTCAGCACACACACACACACACACACACACACCCTGCGATGGGACAGTAACTCAGCACACACACACACACACACACACCCTGGGATGGGACAGTAACTCAACACACACACACACATACACATACACACACACACACACCACACACACCTGCGATAGGACAGTAACTCAGCACACACACACGCATGCACACACACACCCTTGCGATGGGACAGTAACTCAACACACACATACACACACACACACAAAAACCTGCAATGGGAAAGTAACTCAGTGCATGCACGCACACACACACCCCTGGGATGGGATAGTAATTCAGCACACACACACACACACATACACACACACCACACACACACCTGCGATGGGACAGTAACTCAGCACACACACACGCATGCACACACACACCCTTGCGATGGGACAGTAACTCAACACACACATACACACACACACAAAAAAACCTGCAATGGGAAAGTAACTCAGCGCATGCACGCACACACACGCCCCTGGGATGGGACAGTAACTCAGCACACACACACACACACACATACACACACACACACCCCTGGGATGGGACAGTAACTCAGCACACACACGCCCCTGGGATGGGACAGTAACTCAGAGCTGGCAGTGTAGACGCTACACTCTGACGGATCCAGATCCCCAGAACCCAGCCGGGCCTCTGGCAAACCCCTCCCCTTCCTGCCACTGTCAGCGGGACAGAAACCAGAGTCGGGGGCCAGGACAAAGAGAACCGGGTCTCCGGGCCTGGGCCGATTCCGGGGGGCACTTCCCTTCCCCGCGGGGGGCTCCGGGAAGAGAGAGGCGGGGGCACCGCACCCCAGAAGTGGGAAAGCCAGGGGTGGGCTCCGGGGAAGCCCCAGGCCTGGAGCAGGAGGAGGGGGTCCCGGGGGCGGGCAGGGGAGCGGGCGGGCGGGCAGGGGGGGCGCGCGGGGGCCGGACAACAAAGCTCCATTGAGGCGCTGGTGACCTCAGCGAGGATCCGCCGGCACCGCCAGTTCTCCCGAGTCCACGGGGCCCGGGAGGGCAGAGACCCGGCCGGGAGGGCGCCCCGGCGTCCAGAGACCTGGGGGGACGCTGGGGGGCGCGGGGGGGGGCGGCCTCCTCCTTTAATCCTCACACACGCCCTTGGGGCAAGGAAAAGCGCCCACCCCTTCGGCCGCGGGCAGGGAAGGCGAGTCTGGCTGGACCCGGGTCAGCGCCCCTGGAAGCCGGGTGCCCGCGGGCTAGCCTGGACCCAGCCCAAGCCCAGCCCACGCCAGCCTGCCCGAGGGAGCGGCCCCCTCCCTCGCTCTGAGACCCCCGCCCACCCGCACACACTCGGGCCCGAAAGGAGGCTGGGAGGGGGCCGGGGGGCGCGGGGAGGGCAGGCGCGTCTCTTCCGAGACCCCCAAAACGCAGTGCCCTCTGGCCCGCAAACTTGGGCGAAGCTGCTCGGGGCGCAGGGGGGCCCCGGCGGGCGCGGGTGAGACTCGGGGGCGCACGGGGTGGGCGCGCGCGGGTGAAACTCGGGGCGCAGGGGGGCAACGGCGGGCGCGGGTGAGACTCGGGGGCGCACGGGGTGGGCGCGCGCGGGTGAAACTCGGGGCGCAGGGGGGCAACGGCGGGCGCGGGTGAGACTCGGGGGCGCACGGGGTGGGCGCGCGCGGGTGAAACTCGGGGCGCAGGGGGGCCCCGGCGGGCGCGGGTGAGACTCGGGGGCGCACGGGGTGGGCGCGCGCGGGTGAAACTCGGGGCGCAGGGGGGCAACGGCGGGCGCGGGTGAGACTCGGGGGCGCACGGGGTGGGCGCGCGCGGGTGAAACTCGGGGGCGCACGGGGTGGGCGCGCGCGGGTGAGGGTCGGGGCGCAGGGGAGCCCAGGCGGGGGTGGGTGAAGCTCCTCGGGGCGCAGGGGGGACGAGGGGAGGCGCGGGTGAAGCTCGGGGCGCAGGGGGCACCCGGCGGGCGCGGCTCCCCCGCCACCCCCGCGGGGCCTGGCTCCGCCTCCCCCGTGCGGCGCCCCCCGCGCCTCGCCCCTGCGCCGCCAAGTCACCAAGTGCCTCCGGGCGGGAGTGCCGGGCTGGGCGAGGGGGGGATCGGGGCCGGCGGGGCGGGGGTCGTTCAAGAGTCTGGGGGCTCTCGCCGGGCGCTCGAGACCGGTGCCCAGGCGGGCAGCGCACGCCGATCGCGGCCCTGCGCCCCGCCCGCGCCCGCCACACCCACCCCGCCCCGCGCGCCCCAAACACCGCCCCGCGCCGGGGCACTGCCCCGCGGCCCGGAGACGCCCTGCCCCGAGCCCCCTGGCGACCAGCTCGGAGACCCTGGGCCGGAGCACCCCAAGGGGCGATCGCGGCGTCCCCCCGCGCCTCGGGAGCACCCCAGCACCCCCAGCGCAGGAGCCCCGGGCAAGCCCCTACCTGGAGACCCGCTGCGCGCGCCGCTTCGCTCCGACTGCGGGTCGGGGCTGGAGGGGGCGTGGCCCGCGGGGCGGGGAGCGCAGGCCACGCCCCTAGAGCTTCAGCCAATAGGGCCGCGAGCGGAGCCCGGGCCCGCGCGGCCGGAAGGCCGGCGGAGCGGGGATTGGAGGCCACGCCCCCTGGAGCTTCAGCCTATGGGGCCGAGAGCTGGAGCCCGGGCCGGCCGGGCGGGGCGGGGCGGGGCCGGGAGGGCCACGCCCCCTGAAGCTTCGGCCAATGGGGCAGCGAGTAGGAGCCCGGGCCAGCTGGGGGGCGGGGCGGATGGGGAGGCCACACCTCCCGGAGCTTCGGCCAATGGGGCAGCAAACAGGGGCGGGGCGGGGCCTTGAGGGCCACACCCTCCTGAAGCTCCGGCCAATGGCGCCGCGAGTAGGAGCCCGGGCCAGCTGGGGGGCGGGGAGGATGGGGAGGCCACACCTCCCGGAGCTTCGGCCAATGGGGCAGCAAACAGGGGCGGGGCGGGGCCTTGAGGGCCACACCCTCCTGAAGCTCCGGCCAATGGCGCCGCGAGTAGGAGCCCGGGCCAGCTGGGGGGCGGGGAGGATGGGGAGGCCACGCCTTCCGGAGCTTCGGCCAATGGGGCAGCAAACAGGGGCGGGGCGGGGCCTTGAGGGCCACACCCTCCTGACGCTCCGGCCAATGGCGCCGCGAGTAGGAGCCCGGGCCAGCTGGGGGGCGGGGCGGATTGGGAGGCCACGCCTCCTGGAGCTTCGGCCAACGGGGCAGCAAACAGGGGCGGGGCGGGGCGGGCGGGAGCAGCCGGGCTGGACCTTTGTGTCCCGGCTGGTCTGGCGGCGAGTGCGGGGCGGGGGGCGCTCCCGCTGCAGCCGCGGCCGGGAACCGCCCCCCGGAAAGTGCGGGAGCCGGTCCTGGAGCCGGGGTCTGGCCTTCGCCCTAGAGTCCGGGTGGGCCCCGGCGGCGCCTCCGGTTTTAGCAGCACCGGGAAGGAGCAGCAGGAAGGAACTCCGGGAGCACGGAGGGAGGAGTGCAGGGCAGGGCCGCAAGCTGGCAGGGAAGCAAACACGGAGGGCGGGAAGCCGCGGCCTGTCTTCTTTATGTTCTGTGTTTTGTGTTTTTTTTTTTTTAACTTTTTGGGACACACCAGGCGATGCTTAGGTTACCCCTGGCTCTGCGCGCCCAGGAGCTGCTCCATATGGGATGCCGGGGATCGAACCCGGGTCCGCCACGTGCAAGGCAAACGCCCTTCCCTCTGGAGTTTCACGCCTTTCTGCTCTGCTTTCCGGAGGGAGGGGCATGGCATTGCTCTCACCTTACAGGCGAGGAAACTGAGGCACGGAGAGAGGTGACCTCTGCATTGCCACGGAAACCCAGGAGCAGCCCGAGAAGCCCAAAGCAGGGATAGGATGGATGAGATGGGCGTGGGGGGGGGGTACTGCGGTCCCACCTGGAGCCCCTGTCTCTGTCTCAGCCCCCTTCCCACAAGGGAGGGAGAGCTGGCTGGCTGCTAGAACGACCACCCACCAGACCATCTGCCAGAGGTGTCCCCAGGTGGCACCCAATCGTGGGGCGCAGTGATCCCCGGGCACAGCCCACTGAGAAGTAAACCGCCATTTTATTTATTTATTTATGTGCTTTTTTGGGTCACACTCGGCGATGCACAGGGGTTCCTCCTGGCTCTGCACTCAGGAGTTACTCCTGGCGGTGCTCAGGGGACCCTATGGGATGCTGGGAATCGAACCCGGGTCGGCTGCGTGCAAGGCAAACGCCCCACCCGCTGTGCTATCGCTCCAGCCCCTAAGCGGCCATTTTAGAAGCACCCCCCTCCCCACGCCCGGCTTTGGATAAGCCTGAGAGAGTGGGATCCTCCCTTCTCCAGAAGCCCTTCTCTTTCTCAGGACATCCCACAGGGCTGGGGGCAGCTCCAGGGAGTGGGATGCAGGGGGAGGTTCCATCCCCCAAGCGCTGCCAGAGCAAATCCAGAGCTCCCCGCTCTGGGTGAGGCTTGGAAAGCAAAAGAGAAAACCCACTAAAACCCAGACTCTCCTCTCGCCCTGAGATCACTTAGTCCTTCCGGCGCTCAGGCCACCCCAGGCCTCGGAAACTCAGATGCGCACGTGAGACCAGTGCTCCATCCCTGCCACCAAGGCAGGGACAAAAGAAGGTCTCCTGGTGCCCCTTTCCGGCTCTGGTAAACACAGGCTCCGTGCTGGGCTCCAGCACCCAGAAACACAAAGTGATCTCAGGGCCCCCGCCCCGGAGTCGGCACTGGGGCCAGGTGATAACCAGGATGTCCCTGTGCTGGGCCTGATAAGCGGTGGGACCTCTGCTCGCCCCCGGAAGAGCTTGCACTCTCTCTCTCTCCCTCCCTCCCTCCCTCCCTCCTCCCTCTCTCTCTCTCTCTCTCTCTCTCTCTCTCTCTCTCTCTCCCTCCCTTCCCTCCTTCCCTCTCCCCAGCTGTCACTTCCTGCTACCTGTGAAGAGGGTCTTCATTTCACCTCCCATCAGACAGACAGATAGACAGGCACACACACACACACACACACACACACACACACACACACACACACATACCCTGACATCTCCCTCTGTCCCTTCTGGCCTCTTCTTGGCCCGACCTGATCCAGCAGATGCTGAGGGATCTGGCTGTTTTCTGTCACCAAAGGACCAGATCAAGCATCCAGCCGTCTGGACCTGAGCAGTGCTTGGCCCCGAAGCAGCCCCGAGCACACACCCCCAACCCCCTCCCTACTCTCTGGCCTCCTGGAGGCTTCGGTCGTAACAAGCATTTGGGCAGGGAGAGCAGGACGGAGCCTCTGGACGGTGCCCACGGGCTGGAGAAGGCCAGCATCGCAGGCGGGCCGAGGACAGAGGGAGGAAGCAGAGGGAGGAGGCAGAGGGACATGCTTTGACCCCGAGAAGCAGAGAAGCGTATCCCCACCCTCCGGTTGTATAGGGAAGCTGTTGGCCACCCCCAGGGGGCTCTTCCCGGCTCTGTGCTCAGGGGTCACTTTCAGTGATGCTGGGGGACCCTGGATGCTGCACTGAACCAGGGTCAGCCACCGGCCAGCCAGGTGCCTTAGCCCCTGTTTTTTTTTTTTTTTTTTTTTTTTTGCTTTTTGGGTCACACCCGGCAATGCACAGGGGTTACTCCTGGCTCTGCACTCAGGAATTACGCCTGGCGGTGCTCAGGGAACCATATGGGATGCTGGGAATCGAACCTGGGTCGACCGCGTGCAAGGCAAACGCCCTCCCCGCTGTGCTATTGCTCCAACCCCGCCCTGTTCTGTCTTGACAGCTTTGGAGCACCCGCTAAAGGCTCAGGGTCTATTCCTGGCTACTGCTGGTGTGCCCTAAAAGCAAAAAAAAAAGGGGCTGAGAGAGAGAGAGAGAGAGAGAGAGAGAGAGAGAGAGAGAGAGAGAGAGAGAGAGAGAGAGACGGCAGTGAGGTACCGGCTTCCATCTAGGCCACAGCCCCCTCCTTCCCCCACGACCCCAGAGCCACTTCCTCCAGCCATCCCCAGGCAGTGTCCCACCCTGATTCCCGCATCCCCCCCCCCCCCCGCCCACCCCAAGTACGCTTACACACTTCCTTTCGCTGCATGGCACTCATCAGCTTTCAGAAGCCCGAACCTAACCACATTTAAAACGGCTGTCACAAAAACCTGCAGACTGCCCTCGCCACCACGCCCAAGGCCGCACTCCACAGGCTCGGAAGAGCCTCATCCAAGAGCAAATCTGCAGGAAAACCCAGGTAGGCAGGACTCGTGACTGAAATCTCCAGGCTCAACGCAGCCAGGAATGAGTGGCCTCCCCCCACCTCCCTGTGCTTCCAGCAGTGTGGCAGTCACACTCACAAACTGCCTCTGGTGCCATCTAACCCCATTAAAGGCCATGATCCAGAGACTCAGCAATCAACCTCTCGGGAGAGAGCACAGATTGATATGTCATAGAGATGCCTCCAGACCCCATGCCAGGCTCTCATCAGGGCAACGCGGAGGGGGCAGATGAGTTCCCTCCACCCCAACAAAGCCTCAGCAGCTGAAAAACGCCAGAATTCATTGCCGCCATGCTCATGACTGTTCTCCGTGGGTATTTTTTTTCTTTTTGGGTCACACCTGGCGATGCACAGGGGTTACTCCTGGTTTTGCACTCAGGAATTACTCCTGGCGGTGCTCAGGAGACTATATGGGATGCCGGGGATTGAACCCAGGTCGACCACGTGCAAGGCAAATGCCCTCCCTAATGTGCTATTGCTCCAGCACCCCCACGGATATTTTAAATCTTAGGATTCCTGGAGGGCACGGCCACATTCATAGCTGCACGACATCCCAAAATTCACACCACTGATATACCAAGAGTAGCACACCACATGTGATGGGGTTTAAAGTTGAGACAAGCAATCTTATTTTTGTTTTTGTTTTTGTTTTTTTTGCTTTTTGGGTCACACCCGGAGATGCTCAGGGGTCACTCCTGGCTCATGCACTCAGGAATTACTCCTGGCGGTGCTCAGGGGACCATATGGGGTGCTGGGAATCGAACCTGCGTCGGCCATGTTGGCTGTGTGCAAGGCAAACGCCCTACCCGCTGTGCTATCGCTCCAGCCCCGAGAGAAGCAATCTTAAGGAGAAATATATGTACACATAGCACACAAGGCTCAACCTTTAACAACATGTTACTCTCATCTCTTACAGAAGAGTTTAATGGCCCCCGGGTAAAATACAACAATCTTCACATACTTTCCTCTAAGGAAACTTCTTTGGATAATTTTGAGCGGATTATTCACAACAAGCAAGACAAAATAAAGTACTTTGGTTCTGATCTGGGAGCAGGGTTTGGGGCTCGGGATGGGAACATTTGAAGTATGGTGGTGGGAAGATGTTGGAACAGTAAATGTAATTAATTATTGTGAACAACTTTGTCAAAATACAATTTTCAATGAATAAAATGGCTGTCGGGGGCTGAACAATAGTACAGCGGGTAGGGCATTTGCCTTGCATGCGGCCGACCTGGGTTCGATTCCCAGCATCCTGTAGGGTCCCCCGAGCACCGCCAGGAGTAATTCCTGAGTGCAGAGCCAGGAGTAACCCCTGAGCATCGCTGGTGTGACCAAAAAAGCCAAAAAAAAAAAAAAAAAAAAACCAACTGTCCCTGGCCCCTGTGAAAACGGGGTCATGTTAAGAGCAGACTCCCTGCAGAAACATTCCCACAGGGGGACCCTGGGAATGGGGGTTTTGTTTTAGTTTTGGGGTCGCTCTTGGCTCAGAGACCAGGGGACGTTGCTTGTGGGAGACCATGCGGTGCCAGGCGTCGCACCTAGACCCCTGTGTGCAGAGCGTGTGTCCCACCCTGGAGCTGTCCCCCGGGCCCGAGCCCTCAGCTGGGTTTACGCGAGGGAAAGACATGCACCGTGGGGCTGGAAAGCCAACGAGAAAGGCGCACCGCCGAGCCGGGTTCAAACCCTGCCACCCCCTAGGGTCGCTGAGTCCTTCAAGAGTTATCCTGAGCACCGCAAGGTGTGGCCACCCCACCTCCAATACACCGTGATATGTGCAAATGTTCACGGCCAGGGGGCAGCTGGACCCGAAATTACTAAGGAAGCCTTGTCAGTGGGGGGGACGACGGGCGGCCACGCACAGACCAAGCTCAGGCCTGCCGGTAGAGACCCAGCGGACCCTCACTGGCCTTTGTCCAGGGGAGGCTCTGCCTCTAGTGCGGGGCCTTCTGCAGCCCCAAACTACCCTGGAAATAAAATTGGCGCCCTGGGGCCTGTGGGCAGATAGGAGCCGAGGCTGGGTTTGTTTTTTCGGGCCACACCAGCAGCTCAGCGCTCACCCCTGGCTCTGGGTTCAGGGATCACTCCTGGTGGGGCTCCGGAGAACATCAGAGGTGCGGGGGGTCGGACCCTGGTCAGCCACAGGCAAAGCAAGTGACCTCCCTGCTGTACTATCCCCCAGCCCCGCTGGCCCTGGGTTTTGTTGGGGGAGGGGGCACAGCTGGCAGTGCTCAGGGCTTACTCCTGAGTCCGTGCTCAGGGATCACTCCTGGTAGGGCTCGGGAGACCATACAGGATGCCAAGGACCCAACCGGGGTTGACAGCATGCAAGGCAAGCTCTCTGCTCTCTGTACTCTCTCCCCAGCCCTGATGGAGCACTTTTAATTGAGCAACTTCTATGTTCTAGGAGACAGCAGGGAACAAGGACGAGGACACTGCCCTCATGACAGCGTTGGGGGCCATAGGCAAGGCTCAGGTGAACTATGGCTCGTGCACGTGAGAATAAATGCAGAGAGGACCACATACACGGAGCAGAGAAGCCTCCCTTCAGGGAGAGCTCGGAGGCACCCCCGGAGGCAGGGGCTGTGAGCCTAGTCTCGCCACGAAGAGCAGCCAGGGGCTCTGTTGGGAAGAGCAGGTGCAAAGGCCCAGGGGCAGTAAACCAAAAGCAGGCCTGCCCCCCCCAACCAAGTACAGGCAGAGAATTCGGTTGATATGTTCTTTTTTTTTGAAGGGGCGAGCAGGGGCACAGCTGGCAGCGCTCAGGGCTAACTCCTGGCTCTGTGCTCAGAGATCAGAGATCATATATCAATGCTCAGGGGATCGTCTGGGATGCTGCAGATCAAACGTGAGTCGACCACAGGCAAAGAAAACACCCTCCCCGCTGTCCTATTGCTCCAGCCGCATCTCATACTTCCGGCAGGAAATGTTATGAGGCCCATTTGCAGAAGAGGAAGCTGAGGCTCAGAGAGGGCATATGCGTGCCTGGAGTCACGCAGCTCGGCTGGCAGCCCGGGCTGGGCCCATCTTCTCCCTCCTTACACAGGGGACCAAAGGTAAACAAGAAATCCGAGTTTAGCCAAGAGCTATTTTGGTTTGTTTTGGCGCCCCCTGGTGGTGCTCAGGAGACCATGTACAAATCTTCACTGTGGCTTCAAGTTAACCCCTGTACTATTTGCCCCGACCCTTTGCGGGGGTCAGCGGGGCTGGACTGGAGTGATCCCTGGCTACTTCCTGCGCTGTCCCCCAGGCCCGGGCCTGGACATGGTACTGCATTTTGGGCACAAACCTGGCATGCACCGGATCCCCAATATCCCAGGCCCCCTCCCCAAGCACCACCAGGCTGGCCTGGGGCATCCCTGAGCACGTAGGGCCCAAGCAGCACCCCAGCCTCAGACCCGTGGACACCCCCTCCTCCAGCCTCCTTGAGCACTGCTTGGAGAATCCCACCTTCCTTGGGGAAAAAAAAAAAACACTTCAAGGGGCTGGAGCGATAGCACAGCGGGTAGGGTGTCTGCCTTGCATGCGTCCGACCCGGGTTCGAGTCCCAGAATCCCATATGGTCCCTGAGCACCGCCAGGAGTGATTCCTGAGTGCAGAGCCAGGAGGAACCCCTGTGCATCGCCGGGTGTGAGCCAAAAAGCAAAAAAAAAAAAAAAAAAAAAAAACAACAAAAAAACAACACTTCAAGAGCTCTGAGTCTCAGAGAAACGACCCCGCCACGGAGGCCAGGTGGAGTCTGGGTCCCCTACTGGGTGCCTGTCCTTGATCCAAGGGCAAAGGTGTCCTGGCTGTAGAATACGGGGTGGCCTGGCCTGGGAGAACAGGGTGGGGGCACCCCAGGAGGTGAGCTGAGCCCTGAAAGAAGAGGACCGGTGTGGCCTGCCCCCTGGTGGTCATGGGGTAGTACAGCAGCACCCTCCTATTTTCCCCTCCCCTGGAGGTCCCCAGCTCCCTGCAAGTCTCTACAGAGCCCCCCACCTTTTATTTTTTGCTTTTTGGGTCACACCCGGCGGTGCTCAGGGGTTCCTCCTGGCTCTGCACTCAGAAATTACTCCTGGCGGTGCTCGGGGGACCATATGGGATGCCGGGAATCGAACCCGGGTCGGCCGTGTGCAAGGCAAACGCCCTCCCCGCTGTACTGTCGCTCCGGCCCCTCTACAGAGCCCCTTGGTCCTTGCTCCATATCCCATCCAGGGCACTGTGAGTCAAAGAAAGTGGGGGGGGGTTCCCACAAATGGAGCATGCAGCACACACATTCATTCACTCCTTCATTTCACTCCTTCACTCAGCCAACCATTCACGAACTCACTCGCTTTTGTTCAGGCTCTCACTCACTCATTCAGTCAGTCACTCGCTCATCCCCTGTTCTGGGGGTTGTTCCAGGTGGTGCTGGGCCCCCCCCCCCCAAGGTTCCCAGGTGGAGGCCACATGCGGCCCTTGGGCCCTCTCCCGGCCTCACCGTCTTCAGAGCAGCGGCTCCTTCTTCCCTCTGCAGCCCATCACCATCACTGAGCGTCTCCATGCGGGGCCTGGGGTGGGGGGGCTCAGCCAGAGAAGCAGGGGTCAGGCCCTGATGCCAACACTCAGCAGGATGTGAGCACCGTGGGACAGACAGCACGCAGGGCAGAAGGATAAGAGGGGAGGGATGACCTGTCCCCCTAGGGGCGGCAGCAAGAGAGCCCTGAGCTTCCCCCTGGACACAGAAGCCAGGGGTCAGCTGCGAGTGGGCGCAAGAGGAGACGTGACCGCAGAAGGGTTTGCTTTTCCCACGGACGCTTCCCCTTCACGGGTCTCGGAAACGCCTGCCTCTCCCCCGAAACCCGTGGTGAGAACCGTTCCATTGGCCGTGACAGACAGACACACAGACACACAGCTCTCCCCCTGGGCAGCGGCACTCACGTGTTGGAGCCCCCCTGGCTTTGCCGGGCGACTCCAGGGCCACGCCCAGGGGTGCCCAGGGGACTGGCAGATGCTCTGCCCCTGACCTGTCCCCCAGCCCCTGAGCGATTTACCATCAAGCATCTTTGTTTTCCTTAGATTTTTTTTTGTTGTTTTGGTGTCATACCTGGCAGTCCCCAGTGCTACTCCTGGCTCTGTGCTCAAGGATCACTCCTATGGAGTGCTGGGGATTGAACCTGGGTCAGTCGCATGCATGTAAGATCTTCCCCGCCATCCTCCCTCTCCAGTGCTCCCTCCCGTTCTGCTAGGCCGGCCAGCGGGTCTTTGTGGGCTCAGCACGGGTGATGCTAGGAGCTCCAACTCGTTCGCTCCGGTGGGGGTCCCTGAGGCTCCTGCTTTCAGTCTCTGACCCCCTTCTCTGCCTGGCCCTACCTTAGGCCTGGCCCCTCCCCGCAGTGGCCAGAGCGGGGAAGGCCCTTCCTTCTGGGTCCCTCTGGCTGGCCTTGCTGGGGGGCGGGGTCACTGAGTGGAGACCTCACACATCACAATGGCCCTTCCTGAGCTGGCCACCGGAGGGGTTCAGCACTCTCCCTCTCACTCTCGGGGGGCACCAGACCCAGGATGGAGGCTCCCCCAGACTCACAGCTGGAAGCTTCCAGGAAGGCGCAGGGTGAGGGCAACAGGGACCCCTGGGTCCCCTTGCCGAGATGGGGGGGGCTGATCCCTGCCTCACTCCAACACCCTAAAGTCTCTTTCCCTCAACAGAGACCACAGACTCTGAAGGTGGGGAAACAGAGCAGGGATACCTGGCAGCCACAGTGCCCTCATGCGTGTCCATGGCCTGCCACCCAAGCCTCCGAGACTGAGCTGACTCCAGGCTGGCCCAAGTGGGGTGGGGGGCGGGGGTTCTTAAGTTGTGGGGTCTGTTTCGACGGGGAAGTGTGGGTTCGGCATTTGGAGGCAGGTGTGTAGGGTGGGAGTCTCGCCTCTGGCTGGCACCCCAGGCCGGGTACCTAACTCCTCACCTCTGTGGGTACCGGAAGCAGCTCCAGGGGGTTGCAGAGATAGTGCCATGGGGAGGGTGCGTGCCTTGCATGCGGCTGGCCGAGGTTCGATCCTGGCATCCCATAGCGTCCCTCAAGCACCGCCAGGAAAGAGTTCCTGGGCCCGGAGGAAAGGGTGAGCCCAGAGCATCGGCTGGTTGACGGCGGCCGGCCAGGGGCCAGGGCACCCGCTCAGCGCCCGTGGGCTTCGCTCTCTCCCAGAATTCCCCCAGATCAGTGAGCCGCAGCGCTATCAGCCACAGAGTCCTCGGCAGTCACAGCGAGCTTCACAGCAACCGTCACACGTCTCGTACACCCACGGCTCCAGGACACGTCACATGGGTGAGCACAGCCCCCCAGCAAGCCCAGCTGAGTGTTGGGGGCGGGGGAAGGCTGCTCCCACAGGGGCCGAGGACAGGTCTCGAACCTTCGTCTTCCGAAGATTCAGAAATAGACTCGAAAGACCTTTAGGACCGTCCTCAGGCAGGAAAGCTGCAGAACGGGGTTGTGAATTCCCAGCTCCATTCACTGTCCAGAGCAGCCTGGGGCGGGGGGGGGGGGGGTCGCCCCCTTCTCACACCACCCTGGGCCAGTCCAGCCCCCACTCGCTGACCTCTGCTGCCCGGCACAGCCACTCTCCTCGAGAACCCCCAGGGGTGCCAGTCTGTCCAGGATCAGGTTATCCACCAGCCAACCCTGAGGCGGGAGATCCTGGGGCCTCTTTGAATCCAGGAGGACCCCAATTCCCTGGGGGATGCCTTTGCCGGTGCCAGGGGGAGGCAAGGCGGGGTCCGACATAAGAGGAGAGAGCACAGCGGGACCTGAGTGCTTGTCTTGCACGTGGCCAACCTGGGTTCAACCTCCAGCACCCCATGTGGTCCCCCGGGCCCTGCCAGGAGTGGTCCCTGGGTACCGCTGGGTGTGACCACAAAATTAAACAAAAAGAGAGCCAGCTAGGAAGAGACAGGGACAGGCTACGGGTGGGGAGGGGGTGGGAGTGGGCATCCGACTTGCCCCTGTCACCCAGGTGCCTTCCGCGTTCTCCCCACGGTGGCTTCGTCCCTCCCCTTCAACACCACGTGTCCATACTGCGGCAATTTTGTCCTCACCACCACCAGTGCCACCCCGGGCCTGCTCAACTGGCTGCTGTGTACCACACTCTTCCTGTTAGGGTGAGTGCTGTCCAGGTGGGGTTGGCCCAGAGCACCCCGCCTGGGTGTCAGGACAGGACAGGACAGGACGGGGTGGGGGGAACCCTCCAAAACTCGCCCTAAGCCCCAAACCCATCTCCCCACACGACCCCCACCCACTCTGCAGGCCCCGCCCCTGACGTAAGACCCCCCCAGTCCGCAGACCACGCCCCCTGCGTCATAGACCACGCCCCTCCCCGCCCCCTTGCCAACCCTGCCCCCGCAGGGCCCACCCATCTACAGGCCACACACCCGCAGGCCCCGCCTCTGCTATGGAGACCACGCCCCGGGCCCCGCCCATCTACGGCCACGCCCCCGCCCGGAGACCACGCCCTTTGCTGAAATCCCCGCCCACTACCACGCCCTTTGCTGAAAGGCCCCGCCCCCGACCACGCCCTTCACCGAGGGCCCCGCCCGTCACGCCCTTTGCTGAAGGCCCGCCCCGACCACGCCCTTCACTGAAGGCCCCGCCCCTGTCACGCCCTTTGCTGAAGGCCCGCCCCGACCACGCCCTTCGCTGAAAGGCCCCGCCCCGACCACGCCCTTCGCTGAAAGGCCCCGCCCCGACCACGCCCTTCGCTGAAAGGCCCCGCCCCGACCACGCCCTTCGCTGAAAGGCCCCGCCCCGACCACGCCCTTCGCTGAAAGGCCCCGCCCCGACCACGCCCTTCGCTGAAAGGCCCCGCCCCGACCACGCCCTCCGCGGAAGGCCCCGCCCCTCCCCGCCCCGCCTCCCGCGCGGGCCCCCAGCTCACTGCCCACCGCTGCCCTGCAGGTGCGTGCTAGGCTGCTGCCTGCTGCCTTTCTGCATAGAGGAGTTGATGGACGTGAGGCACAGGTGCCCCGTGTGTCGAAAGCAGATCTACCGTTACCGTCGTCTGTGAATCTTACCCCGGGAAATAAACTTTTTGGCTTGTTTCTGTGCCTTTCGTCTGTCCGTGCCCGCCTGGCGGAGGTGGGAGGGGGCTGGGAGCCCTGCGGCCGTGCGGCTGGTCTGGGGGAGCCGGGGCGTCGAGGGGCCACCACCCTCCCACTGTCTCCGGGGGCGGCCTGGGGCCCCCTGGCCGGCGCTGTACTCACTCCCCGTCCACCTGGGCACCGCTTCCTGCAGCCCCTGCGAGGTTGGGGTAAGAGAGCACAGCGCGGAGGGCGCTGGCCTTGCATGTGGCCAACCCGGGGTCCACCCCGCAGCATCCCATATGGTCCTCCGAGCCCTGCCAGGAGCGAAGGGCGGGCTCTGAGGCACCGGGTCTCTGCAGCTTGCAGCTGGCCGGTGTTGTCCACTGGCCAATGTTGTCCACTTCCCAGAACGGCTGAGAGCAAGTTCCCTCCCAATAGGGACATAGGCTGGTGGCCTGCAAGGTGGAGCTCACACTCGCCTCAGTTGACGCTGCAGTTGACGACCACACTGGGCTGGGAGGAAGGGACTGCATGAAGGCAGACTGACCGCACTGGGCAGGCCGGCTGCCTATAGGGTGTTTCCTGTAGGACCAAGTAGAGCAGGTGTTGTCTGAGTCAACTTGCCTTCACGGTGACTTTGTGTGTTCTCGATGGACAGGTTTTTTGTGTTTTTGGTTTGGGGGGGGCTTCATGCGATGCAGTGCTCTGGGGGGTCACGGGCCAGGACTGGAACCTGAGGCTGCTGCCTGCTAAGCTTGCACCCCATGCCCCGAAGCCGTCTCCTGGCTCAGGACAGCGAGGCTTTGGGGGTCACACCCAACTGTACTCGAGGGGCTGCTCCTGGAGGTGCTTGGGGGACCACGTGGGGTACCAGGGCTTGAACTCAGGTTGACTGCCTGCAAAGCAGGGGCCCTTCTTGCTGGACTAACACTCCAGCCCACTGGCACCCCCCATTTTTGTAGTAGTATCCGCAGCCCAGAGCAGGAAGCAGAGCACCCCACGGAGGTACGATAGAGGGGTGTCTGTCTGTGACAGAAGATGACTGAGCCACGTAAAGAAAACCCAGCCACTTGCAACAGGGATCGAAGACCTCACTGGGCTTTGCTGGCTATGGAGAAGCACCACAGGATGGCTCAGCTACCCGGAAACGAACAGGCTGGAGAGACAGCACAGCAGGTAGGGTGTTTGCTTGGACGCGGCTGGGTTCGAGCTCTGACCCACTTGGATCCAGGCCTGGCTCAGTGGCGGAGCAGCTGCTGGTCTACGTGAGAAGCCGTGAGTTCAAGCCCCAGCACCACCCACATGCCAAGTGTGACCATACCCCTCGCGCATGGCATGGCAGAGGACATGAACCGCACAACGGCCACTTGTGTACACTGGCCTGCATGTGTGGCCTGCATGTCAGTCTGCTGGACCATGAAGGGAAGGCGCTAAGGGACCAAATGGTGGTTATAACAGGGGTTTTTTTTTTTTTGGGGGGGGGGAAGGGGAAGACCCGGTGAAGGTGGTAGGATCAAGTTAGAAGCTAGAGTCTGGGGTTGAGGGGGTGACTGGAGCAACAGTACAGCAGGAAAGGCATTTGTCTTGCACAGAGGAATTCCTTGGAGCATTGCTGGGCGCGACCCCCAAAGCAGAAAAGAACAGAAACTGCAGGGGGGGACATAATGGCTGGCACTCATCACACCTCCCTAACACGCCCACCAGAGCTACTCGACAGCAGGTTTGAGCTCGGTCCCAGGAACTTGCTGGTTCCTGGAGGTCCCTCTGATCATTTTCTGGGCCCTGGATGCTCGAGGAAGGGCTGCCAGGAAGGACTTCCTGTCTTGGGGGGGTCTGGCTGGTGCAGACCCCTGGCAAGGGGCAGGCCCGGCCTGCTCATCAGGGGGCACTTTGAGTGTGTGTGTGTGGGGGGGGGGGGATCCAGGCCCTGCCGCCTTGGGGCTCCCCACAACCCACTGTCTTCTGCACCCCTCATGCCCCTCCCAGACATCTGCACCAGGTACCCTGACACCCGTTTCCCTGTAAAGCTTTTTTTTTTTTTGGTGGGTCACACCCGGTGATGCACAGGGGTTACTCCTGGCCCTGCGCTCAGAATTACCCCTAGTGGTGCTCAGGGGACCGTATGAGATGCTGGGAATCGAACCCGGGATAAAGCTCTGATGTGACCAGTTCAAGGACGTCTCAGGAAGCCCTGGTTTTACGAAAGGCAAAGGCCACCCAGGCCCTGGGGGGGGGCTGCCCTCAACCTCCAGTCACTCACCGGATGTGTCGTTTTTATAGAAAATTTTATTCAACATACAACATTTTCCAGCAAAAAGGCAATATACAGGAAGAGTTGGTGCACACTGCGCTACGGAAACAAACCAACAGGGGGGAGGGGGAGAACTAGGTGTGGTCTGCGGCTTCTACTGGACTGCACTCGGAACTAGACACGCAGCTGCGTTAGCGCCAAAGGAACGGACGAGGCTGGCTCGAAAGGAACTGCGCGAGGAGCGGGGCGTCGGCGAGCCGCGCCTGCCGCGCTCCCCGCCCGCTCCTCCCGGCGGCCGTGGGACGCGTTCAGTCATTAAATATACAATTTCATTTCTCCGGGTTTTTTTTTTCCTTTGAACTTTTTTACAAAGTAAACAGCTTCTAACCACTAGCGAGCAGGCCCCTCCGGATGCGAGCACGCCACGGGGGGCTCGCCAGTGCTCTCTGAGATGGACCCCCGGGCTGGCGCCACTGAGGACGGAGTGGGGACAGAACAGGCAGTGGAGAAGCGCGCTGCTCAGCCGGGGGCGGAGGGAGGGACGCTAGGGTGGTGCAGGGGGAGCCAGCCCGTCGGGGGCCGCGGGCCTCCCTCCGGGTGGCTCACGCCGCCACTGACGGGTGCGACCCTCCACCCCCAGGCGACCCGCGTGCCACTGACCTCACTCCCCCGCCAGGCCTTGCACTGTGGTTACCATAAAATAACTCTCATTGGCATCCAAGCTTTATAAAAACACCTTCATTTTGCTCAAAAGGGGCAGTCAATCGAGAGAGAAGCCAAACTCAACAGCCTCAACGAAAGAAAATGGACATCAGCAGCAGTTCCTCTTGCTGAAGACACGGGCTGAGCGCGTGTGGACCACACAGTTCCGGGCTGTTAGTGAGGAGGGGGTGCGGGCACGCGCCCACACACGGGCCCTGGCCTGGCCCACGCCGCCTGCGGAGGTCAGTTGTGGATCTTGATGGCCTTTTCAAGGTAAGTGTAGCGACTCCTCTTGGGGGCTTTGTTGAAGTGGTCGAGCCCGAGCCAGGGTCGGGGGTGAGACATGTTACCTGGGGGAGACAGAGACCGTGGCCCACCGGGGACCGCCGGCAGGGCGGGGCGCGCCACGAAGCCGCTTCTCCAGCCCACCTCCGCCCCCCGCGACCCCCGCGGGGAAGTGGCCCTCACCAGGCTGAGGCTCGAAGTCCTTCAAGTTGACCTCGTACTCGTCCTCGTTGATGTACTGGTGCCGGCCCATCATCACGATGGCAAACTTGAACTACGGGGGGGGAAGCGCCCGTGAGCCACCCGCCAGCGCCCGTGAGCCACCCGCCAGCGCCCGCCCACCCACCCACCCGCCCCGCACCCCAGCCCAGCCGCCCACCTTCTCAAACTCCTTCTCCTGGATGTCCAGCAGGTTCTGGATCCGCTTCATCACTTCTCTGAAGTGCTCGCCCTGCGCGACAAAGGACGGCTGTGCCCGGTGGCCCAGCCACTGTCGCCTCCCGCCGCCCCGCCGCCGAGCCGGGGGCTCACCTGGTGGATCCGCAGCAGGAAGGGGACGCCGAAGGTGCCAAAGACCTCCTTGTGGAAGTGGGCCACGGTGATGAGCATCTCGTTCTCCTTGTCTATGTCCACCTGGTCCAGCGGGATTTCCTGCGGACGTGCGTTCGTTTGGTGGGGGGTGGTGGGGGGGACTTGGGGGGTCCTCCTGGACTCCCACGTGACCCGACCACGTGCACCCAACCCCCTCACTGAGTGGCCTGAGCAGGAGCAGGTGGCGGGCATGAGACTCATGTCCCCCCAGATGCCAGCAGGGACCCGCGGGTCAGACACCCTCACCCCGGGGTGCTGTGCTGTCTCGTTGACACCTCCCTGGGCCCTGGCCACGAACCCCTCCTCCCGGACAGAGACTCAAAGCAGATGTGGAGGAGACGTGGGTCAGGCACTGGTGGGGGGCAGCAGCAGTGGCCGACCCTGAAACCCTTGAGCCGCGCCTGCCAATGGATTTCAGAACCGTGAATTCCACCGTACAAAAAAGTCTGAGATACGAGGAACTCGGGGACGACAAACTGCCAGGCGCTTGAGCCCAGAGGCGCGACCCCGGGAGGTGGGGGTGCCCTGCCCGCCCGCCCCCCGGTGGGCACCTCTATTCGAAACGTCCGACTCGTGGCCGGGGACAGACACTCTAAGAGCTCGTCTTCCTGGTGCACCCCGATGATTTTGTAGCTTACGATTTCTAGCAGCCTGGCAGAGAGAGAAAGACAAGGGCAGAGTGAATGAGAATGTTCCAGACAGCAGTGCAGGAGGGCTGCCCAACACTGGCCGGGGCTGGCAGGGAGGCAGGCCCAAACACGGGGGTCCGGGGCCCCAACGAGGGGCCTGACTCGGCCTCCTCTCCCTCCTCTCGACAGTGAAGAATACCCCGGGGAGGATGGGCTGGGGGGCACCTCTCAACCGCCACCGCGGGTGCCCGGGGGCCCGGGGTACCTGCCTGAGCCTCCCTGACGCCTTCTCGCCCAGCTCCACCGCCTTCTTGCATTCTTCCAGCAGGTCGCGGACGCAGCCGTGCTTGTCTGGGTATAGTGTTATTTCCTGAGAGAGAGCCCGGCCAGGAAGGCCGGCTGTGCCTTAATGGGGCTTGTCCGCTGCCTTTCGCCCTCTCACCCTGCTGCCCTGCCAGGCTACAAGCGCGCGGTGCCCGCGTCCCCCAGACACTCCGCTCTCGGGGACGCGCAGGGACAGCCTCCCCAGGAGAGCCAGCCAGAAGGGGGTAAGCCGAGTCCCCTCCCCTCACAGGCCTGGCCCAGTGGTAGCCGCGCAGGAGAAGCCGGTTCTCGCTGACCCCCGCCCCCAGAGCTGGGGCAGGTGGGGCGACAGTGGCTGGCGCCTTGAAGCTCTGGGCGCGGGGAGGCCCCCACACAGCGTCACCCTGCACAGCTTCTGTCCATAATAGGGGCCGGGGAGAGAGGGACCACCACAAGCTCCGTCTGAAATGCGAACCGTTAAAAGCGACTTACCTCTTCCCTAAACTGGCTGTTTAACCATATGCACTTGAAACTCCGCCTGTTCTCAAAGTCGGTGATTTTCATCTTCAGCTAGGAAGAACAGAACAGATGCACCTTAGATGCTCCCCACAAGCCCTAACCCTCCCGTGGAGGCCCGTGGGCACGGGACGGGGTCGGTACCTGCTGATAGTACAGTTTCTTGGGTTGCCTGGGCTTGAAGAACTGTAGGAGGTCCCGGAGAGTACCTTCATAATTATGCCTAAGAGGGTTCCCTGGGCCATCCCTGTAACTACACCAGAGGTCTGCAGGTCAGCGCCAGCAGCCTCCAGCCTTCTGAGCCTGCCCCCGAACCCCACACCCGGCCACTCACTGCCGGGTCACTGGGCAGAACCCGTGTGGGTCCGCCGGCGAGCCAGCGGCTGGCCGAGGGCCCCCGTGGGAGCCGTGTGAGACGGGAGTGCGGCCTTCACCCCGACCGGTCTTACCCTTGAGACTTGAAGAACTGAAGTAACATCGGGTCGGTGTTAAGTCGCTGTGCGACCGTCTTAGCCACCTGAGCAGGGGAGGGAGCGGAGGTCAGACAGGACGCCCACGCGGGCACAGAACCGAACACGTGGGTACCGGGCCAGGACAGGAGCAAGCCAAATCTAAGCGCCCCCAAGACGCAGGGCAAGGAGCCAGCAGGCGCCCAAGGCCACTGCACAGACACCCCAGCGGGCCAACGGTCGCTCCTGGCCGCAGGACAAGGGGCCCGGCTCCAGTACCTGAAAATAATTCATCCTATTGGACAGCGTGACCACGAAGCCGGGGTCGTTGGGGATCGTCTTGTCACAAAAGATGACGTCCACCCGGTGGTAGAGGTCTCGGAAATATTCCTTCGCGGTGGGCAACTCACTGTTATCATTTTCGGGGTCATCCCTGGGAGGAGAGCACGGCACATCTGTACGGATCCCAGTGCAACCGAGATCGGGCCATGCAGGCCCAGCCCCAGGCCAGGCCCAGGACCACCCGCCCGAACGCCTGCAGACCCCGGTGGGCCTGCCCTTAGCAGCCCGGGATCCACAGCAGGGTGCAGGTCGCGTGCAAGAAGCGCCTGGGGCCTGGCCCTACAGCCACGGCGTGGACTCCGGGAGAGACCGTCCCGGCCACTTGGGCCTGGAATGTGTGCTGTGAAGGGGGCAGGGCTGGCTGGACCCCTGCGCGGCAGTCGAGCACCTACTTCTGAAACACTATGATGTCACCATCCATGAGCTCGTCAAGGGCTTTGTCAAGGGACACGTCATAGTCCTGGATTCTTTCCGTTAAGTTCGGTTTAACTTCCTGTGGACACGCGCCACCGTCAGGGCCCCGCCCACACCAGGCGCCCACCCAGTGCCGCCCCGCACCCCGGGAAACGCCACCAAGTCACAACGCGAGCCCCCCTCCTCCGCCCTGCTCACGACCCCCCAAAGCCAGGCGAGCAGGACCAAGCCCGCGCACCTCATAGAGGATAAGGCTCGTCTCCTGGATGAATCCTGCTCGGTCACACATAACTGGCAGCAAGTCACCTGGGATGGGGGGGGGACAGCAAAGACCCGGGGCTGCGGCGCACTGCCGCTCACCCACGGGCCAGGCGGGGAGCGCGCGGGCGACTTACGTATTTTACAGGATATTGGGGTGTAGATGTGCCCACAGTAATTCAAGCTCCGGGTTTTGGGATCATACATCTTCAAAAATAACATCACATCATCTACAAGGTGAGGACACAGGTGGGTCAGGGGCCAAACGCCCCCAGCAAACGCGGTAGCCACGCGTTAGGACAGCTGAGGGCCGTGTGCCTGCCCCACGCCCAACCTCAGCAGGGTCATCAGGGGCAGTGCAGGGCGGAGGACGCGAGCTTGTTTGGGAAGCTCAGCCCACCTGCAGAACCAGGCCCAGGTGTTCACTCTGCACCCCCCCTCCCCCACTCTCCCACCTCGACATGAAGGCCCGGGCACCAGGACGCCCTCCGTGGGTCCCAGGTGTAAGGGCCGGCCAGGGAAGTACGGGGGGCACGTACGATCCTTATCGAACTTGGGCAGCGTCGCGCCACTGGCGGCCAGCTCCGGGTCGACCGTCTCCAGGAAGATGGTCCAAGGGTTCTCGTTGTCGCTGAGCTCAATCATCTGGGTCCGAGATAGAGACAGCCACCTCAGACGGCCGGGTGGCGCTGAGTGCGGGCGGGGGCGGCCCGGCCAGCGCCACCACTCACCGTCTTGTTGCCGTCCGCCTCATTGTCCAGCATGGCTGGCCGTTTGGTGCCGTTGCTCCTGGCTTGCATGGGCCATAATCTAATTTGATCCTGCGGAAATCCCTGAAAATAGATCAAAATTTAACATTTGAGTTGGAGCGGGGAGGGGGGAGAGAGAGAGAGAGAGAGAGACAGTCCGCCAGACAGTGTCTGCCCTGCACGCAGCCAATCTGGGTTCGACCCCTGGCATCACGGGGGGACCCTGAGCACTGAGAGTGAGCCCCAAGCAGTCCGGTGGGACCCCCGCCCCGTCCTCCCACAACCGACACAAATCCAGAGCCCTGAGACGATCCCCTGAAAGAAACACATCGCAAGCCAGGTCTCCCCGCGAGGCGGGCCAGAGCTGGCGGAGACTCGCGCCAGGGGCCGAGGGCACTCACCATGGTCTGGGACAGGCTCTGCACGAACTCGGTGAGGGAGGAGTTTTTCAGCACCTTGAACACGGTGTACTTGACCTTCTCCTCATCATACATGTCGTTCCCTTGGTGGCCACAAAACTGGTCCTCTGCCACTATCTGGAGTGCACGAGGGGGGGGACACAGAAGCTTACAGGCCGCCGAAGGGGCTGAAACCCGGGGGCCACGCCGCAAGGCGTGATTAAATCCTGAGATGCTGACCAAAGTCGTGACTAGTCTCAGCGAAACCCCCCTCAGAAACCGAAAGAAAGACCCGAGAATACCTGAAACCAGATCAGGTGGGATGTCCTGAGGGCCTCCGGGTTTCCTAACACCCAGGACAGCGAGGGCCCCCCCGCTGGCCCAAGCCCACCTCCCCGCGTGGCCCCGGGCTTCTCCACTGGGTCTGCACCCCCAACCTGCCTGCGTGGGCACTCTGCTCAATGCCCGGGGGCCGCCAGCCGCCCAACCGCACGCACGCCCAGCCGCTGGCTGACCTGCACTTGCATGTAGAGATGCGCTTCCTGCCGCTCCTTCCGCTTCTGGGCCTCGATCCTCTTCTCCTCCTGCAGCCGTTCCACCAACTGCTGGGGGATGTCGTGGTCGGTGACGGCCTGCAAGACTTCACCTGCGGGAGAGCCCCTGCCTTCAGCTGCGCTCTGCGACCCCACCCCTGCCCCCTGCCCCCCGGGCTCCGAGCTGGGAGTGCAGCCACGGTTTCTTTTGGGGCCTGTGGTTTCTGGCCACGCCCGGCGATGCTCAGGGCTGACTCCCAGCTCTGTGCTCAGGAGAACACACGGGGGTGCCACGGCTCGCACCCGGGTCAGCCGCGTGCAAGGCAAGCGCCCTCCCCTCCCCGCTATATCCTCTCCCCCCGCACCCGGCCACTGTCGAAGGCACCACCCCAAGCCTCGAGCCGCCGATGCCCCGCCACTCACTCAGCCGGGACTCCCTGATGTAGACCAGCATGTAGGCGTTGGTGCAGTGCCGGACCGACAGGTCGTCGTCGTGGCCCCCGTAGTTGTGCTCGATGGCCTCCTCCTTCGTGCACCGGGACACCACGTCGTCGTCGAACTTACACCACTGCGGACAAGAGCCGGGCCGCGTCAGCAGAGGCAGCGCGACAGCCACGGTGCGCGGCCAGACGCCCTCCTCAAGACTCGCGTCCACTCCAGCAGGACCCCAGCCGAGACCAGCCAGGCCAAGGACCCTGCCTCCGTCGGCGTCAGGGGTGGCTATCAAGCTCCCAGGGGCCTTTCGTCCTGGCCCAGGGACCCGGGCACAGGAGAGCACAGCCCGGCCCGCCCAGGGTGGCCTCCTGCAGCCGTCCCCTGCTGGCCCACGGCAGGACAGGCCAGCCCCTCGCATGCTCAGAGCCAGCACACCCCAGGGAAGGCAAAGCACTCACTTCAAGCAAGTTAGACAAGCACTTAACAAGGACCCAGCAGCTCCCCGGCCAGGGCCGGAAGGAATCAAGGCTGCTTGGAGGGGGGAGCCCCCCCTGCCCCCCAGTCCAGCCCCCGCCCAAGCACTTACTTTGCCATCTCCCTTGGGGTTGAGATAAACCACATAGTGTCCACCATGATTATCTCCACTATGAACCAGGACTGCGTGAAGAATATAGTTTGCTGGGTCCTTAGGATCTGTTTTTTGCAAAAATTCATCGAGTGGTAACTGTTCTGGAAACTCAAACCTATTAAAAAACATTTTTAAAGAAATGCGGGTTTCACTCACACATAAAAGGCTTCACTTGGGGCCTTCTTGACAGTTAGCCCTGACCTGGTAGCGCGTGTTTATTTGGGACAGGAAGCAGAAGCGCGGCCGCTGCCCCCTGGCAGGGCAGAGGCCCGAATACAGTGTCCAGCTGACGAACTCAGGGAAGAGGCCTCCACTTCTTTTTTTTTTTTTTTTTTTGCTTTCTGGGTCACACCCGGTGATGCACAAGGGTTACTCCTGGCTCTGAACTCAGGAGTTACTCCTGGCGGTGCTCAGGGGGCCATACGGGATGCTGGGAATCGAACCTGGGTCTGCCGCGTGCAAGGCAAACGCCCTACCCGCTGTGCTCTCTCTCCAGCCCCCTCCACTTCGTTCTGAACGAAGCTGCGGCAGGCTGGCGTGTGCAGCCAAGGCGGCTGCCCCAGTGGTCTGAGAACATGGGTCGGGAAACCACGCTGGGAAGAGGGAGGCCGGCACGGGCCATTTCTATGGAAAATCCCCCCATCTGACCGGTGCCTGGCTGCAACTCCATGCCCAGGAGCGCCCGGGGTGGCAGGGAGTGGGGTGCCACGGGCGGGTGGCAGAGCCGCCCAGCCAGGTGCACCCTGGACAGTCAGATGTCCTCGATGCTTCCGAGAGGCCCTGACTCTGCACTTCCATGGGAAACCCCACGATTTTTCAATGCTGGCAACAAATTCCAGCGAAGACCAGGAGACAGGCCCCACAAGTCACCCCAGGGGCCAGGCCTTCTCCGCAGGCTGGCCGGCTGCGTTCTCATTGGTCACCCCCCAGTCCAAGCCAGGCATGGGGGCGGGGGGCCGACAGCCTCAGATGGGGCCGATGCAGAGGGGAGCCCTTCGTGGACAGTAACCCTGGGATCACCCACCTAGGGCGGCCCATTCAGGATTTTTTTTTTTTTGGCGGGGGTGGGGGGGGGGGGGGTTGGTCACACCCAGCAATGCTCAGGGGTTCCTCCTGGCTCTGTACTCAGGAATTACTCCTGGCGGTGCTCAGGGGATCCTATGGGATGCTGGGAACCGAAGACGCCATGGGTAGCTTGCCAGGTTCTGCCGTCTGGCCCCTCATTCCTGATCCTTTTCCGGGGTCTGGGGATGGTGGAGAGAGGAGGGGCTTGTGGTGCTCTCTCCCGGGCTCTGATCCCGCACCTCGTATGGTCTAATCAGGCGGGAGATGAAACCCCAGAAAGGGGCCACAGTGGCACATAGCGGGGAGGGCGCTCGCCTTGCGAGGCAGGTTTTATCCCGGGCATTCCATAAAGCGGCATCCCCCGCCCTCAAGCACCGCCAGGAGGGATTCCTGAGTGCAGAGGCAGGAGGAACCCCCAGCACTGCTGGGTGGGGCCCTCAAAGCAAAACAAAATAAAGCAAGAGAGACTCAGTTAAAACCAACACAAGGCTCAGGACACGATCCGTGGTGAAGCTCATGTGTGAGGTCTGGTCTGGTACCTGGCACCACAAACATAGTTCGAACCAGAACACCCTAGGGACCGAATTCCACTTTCAAGATGACAAGGGCATTCTGGCCACGAGCAGATTTCTCCCGGCGAGGGAGGCGTGGAGGAGCAATCCCAGGAACCTGACAAGGTGGGGATCCCCTCCCCCCAGCAGCTCCCAGGCGGGCGGCGGCCGAGCGATCACCTGTCATTGATCTTGATGTTCTGATCCGTCTGCGGGTCGTACATGAACCTCATCAGCTGGAGGTGTAACACTGGTGGCAACGTTAGGAATTTCACACCCTTCTCTGCTTCCTAAACACACACAAAAAAGCACATTGAGCTTCTTTTTTTTTTTTTGGGGGGGGGGGGAAGATGAGTGTGTCTGGAGCAGGCAAGGGACATGTGGGGACGGCAGGTGGGAGGGGTACAGGCTGCCAGACAGGGAAGGGGACCCTCGTCAGGTGACAGCACCAAGTGGAAGAGACAGACGCCCATGGACAGCAGCTAGTCCGATGCCAACGGTGGGGCTGGAGCAGAGGCCAGGGAGAGGGGGGCACGTCCAGCACCTGCAGGGCTGTGTGCCCAGCCCAGCCCCAAAAGGAAGAGAGAGTGTGGCAGAGGACGGGAGCCGGGTGGATGGACGGGGACGGCACTGCGCCAGCAGGGACCTTTCCCAGGCCTTCCTGTCCCACCCCGTGCCCTTCCCCTCTGCAGGGCCAGTGAGAAGCCCAGGGACAGCCCCTGCCATGCACGGCCCCGAACTGGGATACCCCCAAGAAGAAGTACTTCCAGCACCCACCACCCCAAAATAAAGCCCTTTGGCATCCAAGCTGACACGTGGTCCCGGAGCCCTGACCTAGGCCCGGCCACTTGGCGTCAGGCCGGGGGGGCGATCAGGAGGAGGCAACGCGTCCCCGCCACACTGCGGGGACCAGTGGCCTGTGAAGCAACCGGGCCAGACTCTCCACGGGCCAGGACAGGGGCAGAGCCGCTTACCTGCAGGCCGTGTTCCCCGGCGTCGTATTTATTGTCACCGTCTAGTTGTTCTACCGCCACGTAATCCACAAAGGACTCGAAGACTTGCAGGGAGAGAGGAAAGGTGCCGTCAGGGCGGAGCTTCGGTTCACCTCGGTCACCCCTGAACCCCATAACCCAGTAGCACAGGCGGGGTCGCCCCCCCGCCCCTGCAAAGGGCCGCCTAGGGCTCCAATACTGACCAGGGCCGTCAGCAAAAAACCCAAGCCAGAAGGTAAGAATTTAAGAATTCTGGCCAGAACCTTCTGTGTCAAATTATAGTTCTTAAAGGCCACGGGGAGGGGCTGGAGCAATAGCACGGCGGGGAGGGCGTCTGCCTTGCACGTGGCAGACCCGGGTTCGAATCCCAGCATCCCGCAGGGTCTCCCCAAGCACTGCCAGGAGTCATTCCTGAGTGCAGAGCCAAGAGTAACCCCTGAGCACTGCAGGGTGTGACCCAAAAGGCAAAAATAAATAAATAAAGGCCACGGGGGGGGGGGGGGGGGGGCTCTAAGCCGGCATGAAGGGTCCAAGAGACGCGGGGACTCAGGAGCCACCCACGAGGGACAACAGGGTAAAGGGAAAAGTGATTACAGCCAATAGGGAGACCCCACAGGACATGGGTCCCCGATCCCTGCACACACAAGGGGGCACAAAGCAAGGACAAGCAACAGGCTGGGGAGGCCACGGCAGCAGTGGGCGCAAGGACACGGCAGGACTGGGCAGCGACTTTTCACGCCCCCAACACCTCCCCCCAGACTCCCTCCTAGACAAGAAACCCACCCCCTCCCAACCGAGAGCAGAGCACATCTGCAAGGTGTGACGCAGGAGAGGGACCCCGTGACTGCAACAGCATCAGGGGCGGCCCCTCGGCAGAAGGCGGAGCCAACGCTGGTAGAGGAGAGAAGCCCAAAGGCCTTCCTCCACGGACAACCCACAATCAGAGGGCGCTGCACCCCCGCGAGTCTGGGCCATTTCCTGGCTGTCCCCCACTGCAACAACTGCCGTGTGCTTGAACGTGAATCGGAAGTCATTATCAGGCTGTGCCGTTAGTTAAAGACACCTAACTTGGGGCTGGACTGATAGCACAGTAGGGAGGGCGTTTGCCTTGCACGTGGCCAACCCGGGTTTGATTCCCAGCACCCCAGATGGTCCTCCGAGCACCACCCCGAATAATTCCTGAGTGCATGAGCCAGGAGAAGCCCCTGTGCACTGCCGGGTGTGACCCCCCCTCCCAAAAAACAAGGACACACAACTTACTGTTTTTCTTTCCTTTTATACTTAGTTGGATATCATAATAATCTTCTCTTCTATCGGACCGATAGTCGACTTCTTTACACTGGATGTAGGACTGCAACCAAGGAAAGGGAGAAGGCTTAAGAACAAACGGATGGAACCAAGGCACATTCCAAACGCCCCCACGATCCTCACAGCTGGCCGTCACATACCACCATCTTGCCTCTGAATAACTTAGGGATGGTCCCTTCCACACACGTGCCTTTCATCTTATTCTCCACATTATCGAGCAACTGAAAAGAGAAAGTTTGCGCCTTAAGGAAACTCGTGCTTGCCGGAACAGGAGTAATTCGAAACTTGACCAAAAAAAAATCTAATGCTCAGAGAAATGCTAGGCTCTAATTATTATGACCCTTGGCATGCAATTATCAAAAACATAACATCTTCTTCCTCGCTCGGATATTTACAAAAATATCTACATGCAACAGATGAGATTAACCCTTTACACAGCCTTTGGAATGAATTAGTAATCTGTAGTGCCTTGAGAAGCAATTTTTTTTTTATATTCATGTTACCTCTGTGGAAAAGCATGTAAATTGATCACTAAACTTAACTCGGATTGGTCCACACCAAGAGATTAATGAGGTTGAGCCTGTCAACAGGATTGACTGGTTTGTCCATGGGTATTTAATGAACTGGATTCAATCCAGCTAGTGCTGCAAAAAAGAAAACACACCTTGCCCAGCCAATCACCTTGAACACCATCCTTGTGTGCGCGTGTGTGTATGTGTGTGTGTGCGTGCGACTCTCCTCACAACTGCAGCTGGGAGGGGCTGAGAGATGGTCTGGGGGACAGTCGCCCGCAGAGGGGCTCCCTGAGGCCAGCGGAGCCGCTGTCTGGAGCTACGGAGGCGCCCTGCCGACACTGCCACTGCGGCGACGGCCACCACTCCCCACCAGTGACGGCCAGCTTCCCCGTGGCCTAGAGGCCGCCTTCGTGTCACTCGCTAGCATTCTGACTTCCGAACCAGAGAGACGCTACCTTTCCTTCCCTGCTGGCCTAGCTCTGGAGCCGAACAGAAGGGCGGAGGCTTCGCTTGCTAACAGCCTACAGATCCTCAATGTGAGGAGAGCACGGCGACAGCTTTCGACTTACCACGCGACAGAGCTCTTGAACGTCATGCTGCATGAAGCTATCTAACGTTTCCCACCTTAGGAAGAGAAAACAGCGTGTCGGAACGGCAGCTTCAAACGGGAGGAATGAGAGGAGCAACTTACAGGAAAAAAAAAATCATTGCACGGAAATAGTCAATATCTGCAAATTCGCATCTGGAGAGGTCCTTGGGGATTAGGTATAAATCAAGAAAAAGGTGAACAGAGGGCTGGAGCGATAGCACAGCGGGTGGGGCGTTTGCCTTGATTGTGGCCGACCCGGGTTCGATTCCCGGTATCCCATAGGGTCCCCCAAGCACCGCCAGGGGTGAATCCTGAGGGCAGAGCCAGGAGCAACCCCTGTGCATTGCCGGGTGTGACCCAAAAAGAAAAAAGAAAAAAAAAAAAGAAAGAAAAAGGTGAACTTTATCAACCGCACAGGGGGTGCGGGGGGAGGGGGGGTTCCCTGTCTATACCCAGCGGCATGTGGAGGATGACCACCAGCCCACCTTTGAGCTATCTCGCTGGCCACCGCTTTATTTTTATCTTCTTCTGTAAACTGTACCACCAAGGAGGTGATGCTTGGAGGTAAAGGGACTGAGAGTCATTCACGCTGTCTCTTACTAAGGGCTGAGGTTGGAGGGATGGCACAGGAGGAGAGGCACTTCCCTTGCATGTGGCCCACCAGGGTTGGTGCCCAGGCACCATATTCTGCCCCCCGAGTACGATCAGGGGTGATCCTTGAGTGCCACCAGATCTGCCTTCAAAATACAACCCTAGCCGCAACCCCCCGCAAAAGTCAAGTGTCAGGCTGGAAAGACAGCACAGCCAGTAAAGTGCTTGCCTTGCATATGGCCGACCCGGCGTCCCAAGTGGACCCCTGATACCCGCCAGGAATAATTCCCGAGTGCAGAATCAGTGACCTCTGAGCACCACTGAGTGCGGCCCAAACACCAAACCAAAAAAAAAAATAAAATAAAATAAAATAAAAAAACCAAGCTTCACGATACGAATGATCTTAAGCACGATTCTAGACTCATCCTGTTGTCAGGGAAAACACCCAAGAGTGGCCTGGTACAGACAACCCGCGGTCAGTTGTCTCACACGCACCCGAATGACTTGGTGAGCTTCTTGGTCCCCACGGGCTTGTCGCTGTGCTGCAGCTCATAGAACACTCTCTGTAGTGCCAGGGGGACGCTTTTAGAAGAGTCGTCGCCCTCCGTAGGCATCATGTACACGGCCTGCAAGAGATGGTCCAGAAGCGTGAGACCCCTCGAGAAGGCTGCTCCCCCATCGTGGCAGCCGAGACCGCTGCCCGGGCCGGCCTCTCCTGCTCCCGCTCCCTCCCATGCGCCAAGAGAAAGGCACGGGGTCAGGGAGAGCGCTGGGAAGGCCCTTGCCTTGCACAGGGCCAACCTGGGTCCAGGCCCCTGCAACACATGTGGTCCCCACACCCTGCCAGCAGCGGGCCCTGAAGACAGCCAGGTGTGGCCCCAAAACACCACCAATAACCAAAAAGCAAGGCTAGAGAGATAGTAGGGATAGTATAAAAATAGTTTTCCCAGGGGCTGGAGTGATAGCACAGCGGGGAGGGCGTTTGCCTTGCACGCGTCCGACCCGGGTTCGATTCCCAGCATCCCATAGGGTCCCCTGAGCACCCCCAGGGGTAATTCCTGAGTGCAGAGCCAGGAGGAATCCCTGAGCATCGCCAGGTGTGACCCAAAAAGCCAAAAAAAAAAAAAAAAAAGTTTTTCCAGGCCAGAGCAACGCATTTCCCTAGCACGTAGCCAACCCAGGTTGGTCCTCAGTACCATAGAGAGCCCCCCCTGAGCCCACCAGGAGTGAGCCCTGGGACCAAGGCTAGCCCCAAACAAAGCAGAAACAAAACCAGCAGCCGAGCCGGTTCACTCCCTGCACCGACATAAACCCCAAGTACCACCAGGAGTGAGCCCCGAGCAGAGCGCCCCAAGAAGCCACTCGTCACAAAACAGAACAAGATCTTTAAAAAATCATTTACGAGGGCTGGGAAGATGGCACAGAGGGCAAGGCGTTTGCCCGGAACATAGCTGACACGGGTCCGACCTCGAAGGTCCTCCCAGCACTTCCGGGAGTGACCCCTGAGCCCAGAGCCAGAAAGAAGCAAGCCAGCTCTGAACATTGCCGGGTGTGGCCCCCAAACAAGCAAAACTTCCCGTGGGGCCGTGCTGGCTCCTGCCAAGACACTGAACCCGGGCTCCATCACTCGGGCTTCTACCCTGACCTTGGGACAGAGGAAGCTCAGGGTCGCGTCTCTGGGGGCTCTCTGCTGGAGAGCGCCCGGCAGAGTCCCCATGGCACCGCTGCCCCAAGCCCCGGGTGAGGCCGCAGGAAGGGAGCGCCAGACTTCACAGCGTCCCGCGTGTCCCGCGCCCGGAGCCCCGACGTTCCCCCGGGGAGGGGGCGCGCTACCTTCCGCAGCTGATTGGTGAAGAATAAAGTCTGCAGCAGGCTGTTCATGTAGCAAGTTGCGCCCTGGTTCTTGAGCCCCACGTAGCCCGTGTGCTTCTTGGAATCCCACCTGCGGAGAGTCCGGAGAGCCACCGCCGTGACCCACGCTGGACGCGAAGGCAATGCCCAAGGGCCCGGCCAGCGCGGGCACCCACGCCAGGGTGACTTACGCGACTCCGTGGGGGGCATCCGCCTGCACGAAGACCTCAAAGGTCACTTTGTCGTCATCGATAAACCCTTTTTCGGGATCAGTCACTTCCTATAAAAACCAACAGCCACGTCAGCCCCGGCGGCCGGGCAGTACCGGAGTGGGCACCCGCCCTGACCGTGCAGCACTCACACTCCAGGCCATGAAGTTGGAGAAGCCCCAGTCATTCTCCTTGTGGAAGAACAGGTGGCTGATGCGGCGGCTGAAGGACTTCTCGTCGTCTCGGTAATTGATGATCTTCAGCACGGCTTGGGCATGACAAGACCACGACCTGCGGGACAGAGCGTGGCCTCAGCCGGAGCCTGCACGGCCGCCGGTGTCTCGGAGCAGGGCGCAGAGCCCCCTGACCTGCACTCTCCCTCCTCCCGGCAGGGGTGCGGGCGTGTGCCTGCGTGCGTGCGTACAGAGACCCGGGACAAAGCGGCCGGGGGCGCCCAGAGCCTGGAGGAATTTCGCCTTTCCAGCTCCTGAATGGTTTTCACTTGTTTTCAAAATCAGCTTCATGGTGCTGAAGCGATGGTACAGTGAGGAGGGCTTTGGCCTTGCCCGGGGCCGACCGGGGTTCAATCCCCGGCACCTCGCATGGTCCCCCAAGAATACTGCCAGGAGTCATTCCTGAGTGCAGAGTCAGGACTAACTACCCTGTGCATCGCTGGATATGACCCAAAAGGGGGGGAAGGGGGAAAGAAATTAAAAAAAAAGCTTCCTGAAGTTCGGAACTATTTTGAGACATCCAAGTTTTTTGGTCGGGGATGGACTGGTGCTCCACGCTCGTATTAACAAAAAGCTAAGAAAAAGAAAAAGGTTCCAAGGGAAGGGCTGGAGGACAGCACAGTGGGGAGGGCGTTTGCCTTGCAGGTGGCCGACCCGGGTTCGATTCCCAGCGTCCCATATGGTCCCCCAGGCACCGCCAGGAGTAATTCCTGAGCACATGAGCCTGTGCGTCGCCGGGTGTGACTCAAAAAGAGAAAAAAAAAAAAAGGCTCCGAGAGAGTGAAAAGGGGTAAGGGGCCTCGTTTGACTCCCCTGTGCCCGCCGCGAATGACCTGAGCACAGCGCCAAGAATAAGCCCTGAGCACTACTGGTGTGACACCCACCCCACCCCGCCCCAAGGAAAGAGGATAATCCGAGCATTAGAGCAGAGGTCCCCAAGTCAGAGGTCCCCTGACTTACCACCCCCTATTCAGAGAAGGGGCAATTGGCCACTCTGGTTTGGAGCAGCAGGTGAAGAAGCCGCTAGATTTGAGAGGCGCCGGCCGCACTGTCCACAGCAGAGGGGCCCCCAGGAGGCCCCCAGCTGCTGTAAGTGCCGCCTTTCCTGGGCCTCCCCTCACAGCTGTCTCCCTGACTAAAGAAACCCCAAGGCCCCACGGTGGCGGAGGGCTTGGAGAGGTTGTGTGGGAAGGACGGGGTCTGCCTGCTGACGGCTTTCTGGGGACCCCAGTGGGGAGCAAAAGGCTCCCCGACAGCCTCCGCAGACCCGCTCGTGGCATCAGCGACCCTGGGACCAGAGTCTGGGGTGTGAGACCTCTGGGACGAGGACCCACCCAGATACTCCCCAACCTTAAGGCATGTTCTAGTTCGTGGCAATCCTGCAGCAATCATAGGAACACTTTCTTTCTCCCCCACGAGAACCCAGGAGGCCGCGAGGCTAGAGGCCCCCACAGCCAGCCAGCGGGGGCCCGCGGGCCGGCAGGTGCCAAGACAGCAGCGGCCAACTTTCCTCACCCGGATGTAGAAATACCTACCCGTGAGTTTAGACAGGCAAATCGATTTTAACCTAAGACCAAGAACTACACGGAGACAGCTAGAAAATTTACCCAAAAATTCAAAAGGAGGTCGAGCAGATTTGGTTTCCAGTAACGTATCATAACTATCTGTGGGTTTGTAATGGCATCATTTAAACCGTCTTACGTGGAATCAGATTCAGCATTGCACTGGAGAAAGAATCCTACGCTTTTTTGGTGTGGTCTGTCTGGATAAAAGCGTGGCATCACCATAATCTTCCATGGCAGATTTCGCACAAAACACGGAGGGCTAAGGACCGACTCACTCAGTCTGCTGAAGCGCTCGACAGTGAACTGGAAGGTGGCCTCGGAGCGCCAACTCGTGTCTGCAAGAGAACAGGCGGGTCAGTCCCGAGTCGAGCACGGCCGGGCGCGCGGGGCGGGTGGCGGCTTCCGGGCCCGAGGGTCACAGGAGGTCGACGGCTGCTCAACGTCCCCCAGGGATGCGTCCTGCCTTCCCAAAGGCCAACCAACCAGAGGGAGGACGACCCCCCACCCACCCCAGCCTCTCCTCTTCTCACCCACCCTTCCCGAGTTACCCACTGGGAGAAGGAACCGGGGGCGGCCTCCAGGCGCCCAAGGACCAGAATGGAGATGCGAATCCCAGGATGTGAAGAGTGATGGTCAGGGGGGCTGCAGGGGGGGCAGACTAGGACTCGCTTATCTTGCAGTTCTGACTGACCCTGGCCCTCCATGGGCCGGGACTTGGTGCGCCCTAACACGATCGATCCCTATAACCCTGGGGCTCTGGGATGCAGAGGCAGGTGGGCGCTGAGCCCCACCCCGACCTGTCTCCACTCCGCTACACTCCTGGGGCTGTGTCCTCTGCTTTATGGGCCTCTTGCTTCCCATCCCAGCCCCGCCACAGACGGGGACAACGGGCTTCCTCTTTTTTGGGGGTGGAGGCTCCTCGAAACTCCAGCGGCAGACATGCCCAGGAGACCCAATGGCCAGGCTATGCGTCTCCATAGGTGCTGAAGGGCAGGTGTCCACTGGCCCAGGAGAAAGAGGTGTGGTCACCCCCACCTCTTCCACTGTGAGGATGCGACTGCCCACATGGCCAAATGCCAGTCAGACACATGGTCTGCAAGGTGCTACAAGGTGGGAAAGGGGGACCCACCCACCCTGCAAACACCTCACCCCCAGGGGCAAGCACAGTGACCAGCACGCTAGTCTGTAAGATGCCATCCTAGAGTTTAACAGCATACTCCCCGGACCTCAATTACACAGACCCACGGAATGACACGGGCCGTCACAGGGAACCGTCCTGGGCCCCGCACTCCCCCGCCCACCTCATTTTCAGGTACCACTGATTGCTCGTGGGACTTGGCCATGACCCTGTAGAATGAAACGTTTTTCTGGGCCAGAGAGAGCACACAGTGGGCAGGGCACTTGTCTTGCCCTCGGCCAACCGGGGCTCGATCCCTGGCATCCCATATGGACCCCAAGCTCTGCCAGGAGTGATTCCTGAGTGCAGAGCCAGGAGTAAGGCCAGAGCATTGCCGGACATGGACCTCAAACCAAAAAAAAAAAAAAAAAAAAAAAAGCGCTTTTCCAAACACCCTCTTGCAGACATGTTAGCTGATCCCTGAATTCACACTAAGCAGATCTACAAGCCCGGGGAGTCAGGGCTCTGAGAGCTGGCACAAAGATGCCCACTGGGCTTGGATCACGTACACACACACACAAAGAACAGAGTGGGCTTCTCAAACCAGCTCAGAGGCCCAGCCTGAGATTTCCTGGGGATGAAGCCCACCCTGCCTCTCTCAGGAGGAGGCGTCTCCCTGCAACGCCCAGGGAGCGGGCAGCGGAGCCTGGCCTGTTTCTGCCAAGACTTCTTCACTGGGAGGAAACGTGGGACTCAGGGATCAAGTGCGCCACGGCAGGGCTGCGCTCACAGCGGGGAGTGCCCGCCCCACTGTCCCCACACGGTGGGCACAGCAGCGGCGCTGAATGCGGGGCACCAAGCAGAGAAAGACGTGGGTCTCCATCAGAAAAGGTCTCCCTGGGGGCTAGAGCCATCAAGTGGGGGAGGGAGCTCGCATTTCAGGTGGCAAACCTAGGCCCAATCCAGGTCGCCCCAAACGATCCCCCAAGCACCCCAAACACACACACACACACACACACACGTACACACGGAATGAAACTGAAAGAGGTTCCCTGGACTCTTCTCAAGCCCTAGGCCTGTATCATCCTTGGAGTCTGAGCCCTCCACCTAGCCAAGATGCAGCTCATCCACCTCCTGGGCCCATGGCTGCTGACCTGCCTTCACGGGCCTCCTGGGCCCCCTTCCTGCACCAGGCAGGCCCTTCCCTCCAGCTCTGCTGGGCTGACATCAGCGCTCTGAAGGCAAGCAGTGTGAAGAGTCAGATGCGCAAGTCCTGCATCTCGGGGTACTGAGGCGGGCTCAGGCCCACAGTGAGGGAGCTGCCTGGCCCTGCAGTCCGCCAGCTCTGGCTTTCCCAAGGACACCCTGGCCGCCCCTGGCCCCGGGAGCATCACGGGTGGTGACAAGAAACCCCGGCGCCCGACAGGCAGAGCCCGCACCCACGCCACTGCAGTGGCCCTGGGCCTACAGGGCTGTGGGGCTCAGGCCGCACCTCTTTGCCTGCCTCAGGGAATGCCTCAGCCCGCTGCCAGGGGAAGCCGCACGCGAGCCAATGCTCACCTAGGTCTGCAGCTTCTCAGAGGCGGGACTCGGGGCAGGAGGTCTGAGCAGCACGGAGTTACTCCGGAGGCTGGTGGTTCCTGCCCACTGCCCCGTTACTCCCCTGGGAAGGACACGACCCTCATGAGGACAGGCCGTGGCCTGAACACGGTTTCACATCACACGCCAGGGGCGGCGGCCGTGCCACCTCAGCCACTCCGGAGAAGACACAGTTCCAGGAGTCCCTGCCTGGCACACGGCCCACACCCAGGCCCGGCTCTGCGCAGGCACTCTCCAGAGCCGACCACACGCGGGGAAGAGAGGGGAGGCCCAGGCGCGGACCCAGGCACACACAGACCGACCGCGAGCGTTGACGGACGAGCTGCCACACGCGGCCATCTACCCAGGGCCTGAGAGGCCAAGGGCAGCGCGCTCGAACGCTGCCCAGCCGCCACCAAGGAGAGCGAGACGCGCTTGTCCTGAAGACGCCCGGCGGCAGGGCAGGGCAGGGCAGGGCAGGGGCAGGCCACGGCGCATGCCCCCTTCCTGCGGGAGCCGGCAGGCCGCTACTCACCGTGGACGGCGTGGGCAAGCGTGCTGGCCACGCTCCAACCTCCTCGACACTAGCTCCGCTGCGCGGCGGCGCCCACCCCGCGCCCACACTCACCGTCCTCCATCTCCTCCTCGGTGTTGTTGTGCCCATCGCTCATGGCCACATTCCCATTGATGATGGGGTTCTGAGTGATTCTGGGTGGGTCATCCGTGTCTCCAGCTGCGGGGAAGACAAGAGACGCTGCGCTTTAACGGGCCTCGTGCTGAGGGAGAGACACGGCGTCCGTCGTCCCCCCCCCCCCCAACACTCACTTAATATGTGACTCATCAGAGAGAGAGAGGGACAGACATAGAATGACTGCACTCGTTTGTGGAAACTTAATACGTGACTCATCAGAGAGGGACGGGCACAGAACGACTGCACTCGCCTATGGAATGTCAAGGAACAGGACGGGAGACTAACACCCAAGGATAGCAGAGAAAAGGGCCAGGAGGACCGCTCCACGGCTGGGAGGCCGGCCCCGCATGCTGGGGGAAAAGGCAGCTGGGACAGAGAAGGGACCCCCAAGTAAATGATACTTGAAGGGCTCGCTCGGGACGGGAGACGCGTGCTGAAATTAGACGACAGACCAAACATGCTGGCCACTTAATATCTGTATTGCAAACGGTAACACCCAAAAGGAGGGAGGGAGGGAGGGAGGGAGAGAGAGAGAGAGAGAGAGAAACAGAATGTGCCTGCCACAGAGGCGGGGTGGGGGTGGCAGGAAGGACCCTGGGAACATTGGTGGTGGAGAAGGGTACTGGTGGAGGGATGGGCGCTGGATCATTGTATGACTGAAACATAATCACGAAAGTTTGTAAGTGTGTAACTAGCTCACAGTGTTTCACTAAAAAATTTTGAAAGACGTGACTAACCATGAACCTGGTTTTAAATGTTACAGGGAAGGCTAGAATATGTCAGGGCAGTTGAGGCCCTGGGTGTGGTCCCAAAGGGCTAAATGAGATCTGAATTTGCTCCATTAGATATAGAAAACATATAAAGGTAAAGGTAAAGGCCCTCCCGTTGATCGTCGATTTGCTCGAGCGGGCCCAGTAACGTCTCCATTGGAGACTTTGTTGTTACTGTGTCTGGCATATCGAATACGTCATGGGGAGCTTGCCAGGCTCTGCCGTGCGGGCGAGATACTCTCGGTAGCTTGCCGGGCTCTCCGAGAGGGGCGGAGGAATCGAACTCGAAAGTAAAGGCCCTCCCGTTGATCATCGATTTGCTCGAGCGGGCCCAGTAACGTCTCCATTGGAGACTTTGTTGTTACTGTGTCTGGCATATCGAATACTCTCGGTAGCTTGCCAGGCTCTCCAAGAGGGGCGGAGGAATCGAACTCGGGTCGGCCATGTTGGCCACTTGTAAGGCGAACGCCCTACCCGCTGTGCTATCGCTCCGATAGCTTAGAAAACATATAAAATATATTTTACAGATGACATGATCTTAAAATGTTATTTTATAAATTCGTATTCTATAAAAATAATAAAAATTAAATGTTTCTACATATAAATGTATCCCTATAAAGAAATACATATATTTTAAGATTTCCCCTCAATCCCAGAGAAAATCCGTTCCTTGTCTTGGTTACGGGGGCCATCTGGCGGTGCGCAGGGGACCGTGTGTGGTGTCGTGGATCAGAACCAGGACGTGGTCCCCACAGCTGCACGCAGGACAACACGGGGCTCCCGCGCCCCCCTCCCCAGCCCTAGAGAACACCTCGAGGAAAAGGACTCGACTAAGTATATTCGCAACAGACAGAACTTTTCAGATGGACACCTGCAAATGCCTTGAAACAGGGTCACTGGGCCACCCGTGCCTCGGTGTGGGTTTCCTGTGGTGTGGGAGAAGCATGGGGGGGGGGGGGGGGCGACGAAGAGGGTGCCCGGGAGCTGGGACCTACGGTCTGCAGAGGAACCCGGTAAAAGAACCGCCCCCCCCCCCCCGCCACCGCTTTCAGGAGCCGTGGGAGGCCCACACGCCAACATTACTTCCTGATGAAAAAGTGCCTCCAAACGCCTGGCACTCCAACTCTCCTCCTCCCGGCCGAAGGCTCCCTGTGCCCAGCGTGGGGGCCAGACCGCCCTGGCACGCGGACGCTCAAGAGGAGGAATTTCAACCCCGAGCAGGACCCGCACGGCTTTGAGAGCAGCGCCAGAGATGTGGGCCTGGCCGGCTGTGCGCCTCTCCGCCGTGGCCGGCCGGCCGGCCGTGGGGTCGCTTCAGCACCTTGGAGAGCGCCTTCCCCGCTGGAGTATGCCGGGTAGGGCACAGCTCGCCCACCCCAAGGCGCTTCTAGCTCAGCCCCTCACAAACCCAGAGACCCCACCAAGCCTCGGGTCATTTTCAATCTTGATACGCTCAAATGCCTTTATTGAGTAGAACTCACCCCTTAATCAAGCACCCCCAACCAACGGCGGTGTTCCATGGCCTTTCAAAGCTCACGCACGTGCCTTTCTTAGAGGGTCCCTCAGAGAAGCTGGGACAGCGGCAAGGGCCTTTTTCCCCCTGCTCTATCGGAAGCACAAGGAGGTCCCAGGAGATACCCCAAGCAACAGCCCCCAGTGACTTCTGACCAGAGTGCGGCTGGGTCACCGCAGACCTCCCCCCATGTCTGCCTGGGGCTTTTCTTTCAGTTCTCTGGCACAGCGCAGCACAGAGCTCGTGTGATAGGTCCAGGGACCAGAACGGAGCACTGGCCAAGGAGTCCCTGCGAGCGGGACAGGCCATGCTGCTCTGTGCCACGCTGGGATTGCTTCCCCATGACCCGGGGCTGGCCAGAAAGATGCTGGCAGCTCTGCGTCGGGGCACCGAACAGCCAACTCATGGATGAGTGGAACCGGCCAGGAGTCACCGTTTAATGAAGGCTCTGTGGCTGCCGGCACGACAGATGAAAGCACCAACCAACGGAGCCTGTAGCGCCGGGCTCCCAGCAAGGCCGAACATCACCTTCGTTGCGGTTAAAGGCGGGTGCCGGCATTTATTTTTCTCCAGCAAGAGCCTCTCCTCGCTGGAGCTTCTCCCAGGCAAGTCAACTACCTAGCTTTAGGAGCTGCAACGGGAATTTCTAATCACGAAACTATCTCAAATTGTTAAGACGGGAAGTGGCTTAGCCAACATCAGCGGATAGGTGCAGTGTCTTAACAAGCCGACAAGAAGTCAAGACCATGTTGGATGTGTGGAGGCTGACGGCCAGCCCAAACAGAGGACACCGGGCCCTCGGTCGGACGCAGCCATGTCCAGGGCCTACAAGGGGTAAACCACCGACAGCAACCGCACCGTCGGCTCCCACAGCCTCGTTTTGCGACGCCTGTAAAGTGGCATCTTTGGGAGAGCAAAACGTTAGAGACGCGCAGGCGACCGGCGAGGCACAAGGCTAAATAAACGGGGGTGTCTGAGCCCTCACCCAGCGCCTCTCCCCATTTCTGTTTGTGATGTCATAGCGCAGAACCACTGCATCAATCACTCCCAGAGTCAGGGGCTGAGCAAAATTCCAGTCTGTTGGCCCTGACACTTCACACAAACTTTCCAAGCCATCTCCCAAAAGGCAGGAACCAACTGCCACCCCCAAGCCTTGTAGCCCAGACCGGCCTGGTCCCACGGAGGGTCCCGTGAGCACCAAGGACAGGACACTTGGAGGGCCACGCTGAAGGCCGCTCCGTCTCTAGGAGGTGGAAGCGGAGCCTCGCGGCCGCCCCAACTCACAGCTGACCCTCCACGGGGAAGCGCTCCCCCTACCCCTGCTTCCGAGGGCGCTGAGCCCACTGAAAGGCAGAGCGAGACGCGAGGGTCTCGGGCTGAGTCTGAATTCTGCCCGTCTCTGCGAGTTAACCATCGGAAGCTACTCAGGACGGGTGGCCAGGAGGGTCTGTGCCGGGCCCCCAGGAACCAGGTCACCTTCTCGTCCCAGTCTGTGGCTCCCCGCCATGTCCGCCCTGCCTGCATGGCGCTGCAGTAGAATGTGGGGGGCAGGCGGGTTCCCTTGGACGCATCAGAGTGACTGCTTAGAACCTAGAGACGCCCTCACCCTCGGCATTCTTGTTCTCTTGAAAGCTCCCAGGGAATTCTTGCCGGGGGACTCACTCTTTCAAGCAAGGCCGTCAGGGCAGAGGGGTGCCAGCCAGAAAGTGGGGTCAGCGGCAACCAGCTCTGGGAGCCTAGGGGTCCCCCTAGATGCGGTGCATGCTGCTGACAAGGAGGGCCGGGCACGTGGGCACTGAACGGTGTGCTCTCTGCCGTGAATTTCAGCGCGATCCAGAGTCAAAAGTTGATTCAGAAACAAAAAGACAAGGGGGCTGGAGCGATAGCACAGCGGGTAGGGCATTTGCCTTGCACGCGGCCGACCCAGGTTCGAATCCCAGCATCCCATGTGGTCCCCTGAGCGCCGCCAGGAGTGATTCCTGAGTGCAGAGCCAGGAGTAAGCCCTGAGCATCACCGGGTGTGACCCCCCCCAAAAAAAGACAAAAAAAAAAAAGACAAAAGTGGGGGGCCAGAGAGGCTCAGAGGGATGGGCACCTGGCAAAGCATACGGGGCCCACACGTGATCCTTGACACAGCAAGTGACCCCCCCCCACAAAAACAACTCACAGAGTTGGCCCCACGCAATGCCAGGTGAGCGCCAAACAACCCCCCCCCAAAAAAAAGGCAGCAAAAAGCAAGGCTAGGGAGATAGCTCAGCGGGAGATGGGGACCCCTGCTTTGTATGTGCCCCACCAAGCACAATAACCCCCAGGACCGATTTAAGAGGCAAAACACCGGGGCTGGAGAGAGAGCACAGTGGGTGGGGCGTTTGCCTTGCACGCGGCCGACCCGGGTTCGATTCCCAGCACCCCATAAGGGTCCCCTGAGCACCGCCAGGAGTAACTCCTGAGTGCAGAGCCAAGAGTAAGCCCTGAGCATCGCCGGGTGTGACCCAAAAAGCAAAAAAAAAAAAAAAAAAAGAAAAAAGGAGACAAAACACCTTTAAGCCTAAAGAAACAAGGACACGAGGTGACAAGTGCCCCTGTTGTGTGTGGCAGTCACACAGGGGGTGTGATGCTCTACACAGGCAGGGCAAGACCGCATTAGAGCCACGGCAGGAAAGTTCCCCCACCTCGCCAACTATGGGGATGTGGGTCAGAGATGGGACCTCTGGAGAGGCCAGGCAAAGACACAGGGGAGTAACTCCCGGGCACTGAGA